AGAGGCTGAGAGTCTGCTTTGCCTCCCCTGGAACCAGCGTGCTGCCACACGTACCAGCATCCAGGCAGCGATCTCTGTGACAGCTGGGGCGAATTATTCCCACTGTCAGGGGAGCGGCTGATAACACAAGTCGGTTTCAATTCCTTATTTTTAAATCCCTCAGCTGGCTGCAGACTTGGGAGATGTGACAATCCTTTGCATCTCGTCGCAGATGGGCTGTCACTTGGGGTCCAGGAGCGGCTAATCGGGCTGGGCTAGTGGCTGCACGGCAATGCCCCCGGCCCCAGGCTTGGTGGGGGTTGTGACAGCTCCCCAGGAGCTGAGTGGACTGTGGTCCCCAGCAGGAGCAGCCACCCAGCCACTGGAGCTTGGTGGCACCTCTACGCAAAGACGGCACAACCACCCTGCCTGGAGCCCAGAGGTGGGCACCACGTGACTTACCCGTACTTGGGGTTCCTCTTCCTGCCTGCCCCCTCCCCCCTCCCCAGGGCAAGTATGACTCAGTGCTCGGCTCCCGGAATGGACAGAGGGCGGTGGGTGGCAGAAGAGTAAAGACCCAAAGTCCTGGCTGGAGGGGACAGTTTGGGATGTTTAGCATGTGACCCCCCCCCCGGGACCTGGGGGCTCCCCATGTTCTGAGGCAGACGCCGCCCCCAACTTGAGAAGGTGGAACTGTCCACCACTGGCACATTCTACCTGCCCTTGGCTGACACAGCACACCTGCCCGACATGGAATTGGCAGCCTCTCTGGTGACAGGTGGCAGCTTCTGTAGTCGGTTTCCAAAAGAGCTGAGGCAGTGGCCCTGGTGATGGTGCCCAGCACCGGAAGCACATGTGGTGCCCACCCAGCACGTGAATCTGGGAGTAGCTGGGCAGTGATACCAGCACTTGCACCTGGCTAGGAGGCCTCCAAACGTGGGAAATTTGAGGCTTGGCCACCATTCCTGACCACGCATCTTCAGCTTAACCTGACCTGAGTTGGTTTGTTATTTGCAAGATAAAACCCAGTTGGCAAAGGGTAGCCTGGTGATCCGTACCAGTTACTGGGCTCTATCCTGGGTCAGTACATCCTGTTTGTATCTAGAAAGATCTAAAATGGAGATGTAGAAGCATAAGCAGCTTTGCCCTTCACGAAGGCTGCCACCGTGGCCGCACCAGCAGGAGGTAGAAGGGGCTGGCAGCCACCTGCTGAGACAGCCAAAGCCGCAAAGGGTTTAGGCTCCAGATCTGCACAGCCTGCCGGACCCGGTGCCTCTGTAAGCAGCGCGAAGACTGCTTCCCTCGGCGGCAGATGGAATGCCCTTCCTCAGTGGGCCTCGCGAATGGATGAGGGTGCTGGTGTCTGGCCTAGCAGTTAGGATGCCCGTGTCCCACGGGTGGGAGTACCTGGGTTTGAGTCCCAGCTCGATGTCCTGACTCCAGCCTCCTGTCGATGCAGACTTGGGAGGCAGCAAGTGCCAGCTGAATTGCTTGGGTTCCTGCTACCCATGTGGGAAACCCAGACGGAGTTCTGGGCTCCTGTCTTCAGTCTGGCCCAGCCCTAGCCATTGAAGACCTTTTGGGGGGTGGGCTCACAGGTGGGAAGTCTTCCCCCCGCATCACCCCGCCAACAGAAAGTGACAGCAACAGCATCGTTAAGGAAACGAGGAAAGAACGAGACGCTCCTCCCATTCCTCGCCACTCGGGTCCCCGTTCCTGTGTGCGAAGCTAAGCCTGGCCTAGCGGGCACGCGGTAGATGCTTCTGTTGGTCACTTTCCAGAATAGGTCACCAGATTTCATAGGAGGCAGAGGGGCAAACCCCATGAACTTGGAGTTCACTGCTTTCCCATTATTCCAGTACTTCCAAGAAAGCGTTTTTGCCAAAACTGCACGTCTGTTCCTTTAAAAAGCCCACAATGGTCTTTTAAAAGATTTTTCCCACTCCCACAGCATTCTCCAACCTGCGGGGCCCCGCCCTGCCGAAGTGGCCCTCCCCCGCCTCAGGACTCTGGGTCCCTTAGGCCTGGGCTTCCCCTAAATGGCTTTCCAGAGACAAGGGGCAAGGAGGCTCTAAGAGGGTCACAGCACTGCTTTCTTGTCCCCTCACAGATGGAGCAATCCATGGCCATGGCCAGGAAGACCAAGGCATTCTGGGAACATGGTGCTCTCATGTCCTGTGATGTGCAGAGCCACACAGAGCAGAGGGCAGGCGGAAGAGTCACCTTGAAAGATGGCACAGAGGGAGGGGGGTGGGTGGCTTCTGTGCCCTGAACAAGGAAGCGGAGAAGACAAAGCTGTTCGCCAGGCTTGTGCGCCAGTCAACAGCACCGAGCTGGTGCCGCTGTAACTTACATTAAGGGAGGCCAAGTGTCCTGTCTCCTGCCCAGAGGTCAAGGACATCAAACACAAGGAACACCGGATCCTCTCTGTACAGGCAACTGATGCTAACGATCCCTCCTTCCCTGCCCCGCTCAGAGCTGCAGGCCCGTCGCTGAGCTGATGAATCTGCCGCCCAAGAGACCTCGGCAGGACTGAGCGCCTCCACCGTCTCTCCTCCCAGGACTCGGGTGGCCGTCAGCCATACCTGGTCTGCGCTAAAGAGGAAGCCCTGGCCGCCAGGTGCCAGAGGCTGGTGACGTGGGGCACTTCATCTACACTTAGTCCTCTGTCACTCTAAGCCTCGTACTTGTGTGTTTAGATTGAGAGGCAGAGTCGCAGACAGGGAGGACAGAGGTCTCCCAGCCTCTGGTCCACTCCCCAAATGGCTGCAACTGCCAGAGCTGAGCCAATCCAGAGCCAGGAGCTTCTTCCAGGTCTCCCGTGTGTGCAGCAGCCTAGGCACTTGGCCCACCCTCCAGTGCTTTCCCAGGCCATTAGCCGGGAGCTGGATTGGAAGTGGAGCAGCCAGAACTTGAACCGGTGCCTACATGGGATGCCAGCACCCTAGGTGGAGGCTTTACCTGCTACACCACAGCGCTGCCCCCAGCTTCATACACTTTCTGCAGACAGGCAAACTGAAGCATGCAGAGGTCAGCTTACTCGCCCAAGTTCACAGAGCTGTTCGTGTCAGTGCTGTGGTGACAAACTCGCCCTTGGTCAGAGCCAGAGCTGCCTGTTTGTCCCTGGCTCCATGGGCTCGTCCTGTGAGATAGAACTTTATAACTCCTGTCCCAGCCAAGTCCCAAACGAGTGTCTTGGCTCTAAGCAAGGAGCCAGGAAACGGGTCCTCCCTACCCCCTGGCCACCTGCCACCCTTGGGTGTTAGGAAGGAGCAAGCCCCACTCCGGGTTCCAGCGGCTGCCTGGCCCACTCCGAACAAGCAAGGAACCCGAGTCCCCCAGGCGAGCATGGTGTCGGAGCAGGACCCCCGCCAGCACGTCAAACATCTATCCACAGCCTGGGCCTCAGCTGCTCGCTAAAGGGATCAGGCCTCGGAAGCCTGCTCTCCCTCTTTGAAGCTGACAGCTTGATGCCTGTGGAAATGTAGGCCTATTCCAGGATCTCATTTCAAAGAAGTTTCAAAAGAGCGGCTCTTGGGCCCGGGGCATTGCTTATCACAGGGCCCTCCCTCCTGCCTGCGCCCGCCCGCCTGAGGCCCCGCACACAGCAGCTGGGGCTGCTGCATGTTCTCGCCACCAGGCGCGTTCATGCGCAGGGCTGTCCGAGCAGCAGCAGGCGCTTCCATAGCCTGCACCCGTGCTGTACTATCTGACACGACCCACCGAGGACCTGTGGGCAGAATCGCACAGCCCTGTGACTCTTGTTAGTCAGCCTCCTTTTAAAGACTCCCCTAAACATCAACAAAAGGCTAAAGAAATGCTGACTTCAAACCCAGGAGCTGTGACCCCACGGAGTGTTGGGTGATGAGCAGCTCTGGTCCATGGCGTCACCCTACAGCCCCGCAGCCAGCAGGGCCCCTGAGCTAAGACCTCGAGCTTCCTGGCCAGCTGGAGAGCTCCCAGGAAGATGCTGGGGAGGCCTGGCCACGCCCATGCACGTATCCTGGGCTGCCTCATGGTTCTGGAATGTGCCTCCAAGTGCAGGGTCTGCCCAGGTCCAAAGTAGCAGAAAGTATGAGACTCCGGGGGACCTCGGGCAAGGACGCTGTTGTAGTTGGGGGGAAAGGGATGGGGGCGATGTGGCGAGGTCCCATGTGGATGGTGCCTGCACGCCCCCTGTCCTCGAGTGCCTGACCCATGGGAAGGCGGGGGCGGGCCATCCTCCTGTCAGTCGTCAGTCGGTGCTGCAGCTTGACTGGGGGGCGCCAGGCACAACCATGGCCCCCCTCTCCAGCTCCATGTCTGCTTCCCAGGAAAACATGCAGGTGCCACAGACCAGCCCCTCGCCCTGAACCAGGCAACCAGGCCTTTAGCTTCCAGGTCTAAAATCGGTCTTGAGGCTCATTCTCCATGCAAAACCGGGTCTCCTGGGCTTGTTCACTCCCACAAGGGCGACACTGCCTGGCCAGAAACCCCAGTCACCAGGATTCCTGCAAGAGACTGGCCAGACCCTGTCGGGACCGTGCCTCCTGCTGCACAACCCGTGCCTCCAAGCACACCGCCCCGGCAGCCTGGTGGTGAGAGGGGCTGCCCTCTGGGGCTGCCTCTGGTTTCCTTGGAAGCGGTGTCTGCGGGAACACACCACTCATCCCCAGAGCGTCTCCACCGTGTGCTTCTTGCCACGTGGATTGCCCAGAGCCCGGGAGGAGGTGCCCCCTGCCAGCCCGCTCACCCCAGGCCTTCCCGGGGGACTCCCTACATGCTCTGGCCCTAAAATCGGTTTGCCTGGCTGTAAGAAGGGTGGGTGCCTTGCCTGCCTTTGGTTTTCACCTGTGCCACATTACAGAAGGCGTGGGACTTTGCCTACAGGAGGAGCGAGCCCCAGGTCACAGGCAGCCAGGGCTATAATCCTCAATGTCTGACCTGACGTTACCTGGGAACAATCTTCTAAATCTCAGCAAAACAGACCTCTGATGCAGTGGAATGAGAGGCTAAGAAAGCAAGGCACAGGGAGAGCGCGATGCCAGAGCCAAGCCGTTCTATTTGGTAAGCCGCGTGGTCCGCAGACGGACTGCACCCTGTGAAGGTGAGCCCTCTGTCGGTCTCTCTGCTTGTCTTGCTCTTGCCGCTGGAAGGATCCCTCCATCTTGGATGTCGCTAGCTCACAGCCTATTTCTGTACCTCTGCTACAGCCGATTGCCAATTCCTCCTCAGTCCATGAGACCAGATGCTGTGACAAATGTTGCCGCGAAACAAACCCAGAACACCCAGCCCAGGGCGCTCCTCTGCGGGGAGCCCAGGAGTGCTCTGTGCTCTGGGCGCCCTGCTCGTGCACTGGCCTAGGTGGAGGGCTGCCGTCGCCTTCCAGCGTTTGTTTCTGATGGGGCATGCTTCTGTGGTGGCCCAGGGGGTCTTGGGACAAGTGACAGGGTGGCCACCTTCACAAGTGAGGCCTTACTGCGTCTGGCAGCCCGAGCTGGGCAGCAGCTCCTGCAGGTGAGAAGCCACCGCTCTCGTTAGGTAGGTCATCGTGCCGTAAGCCCCGCTCGGGGCACTGTCGTAAAAGAAGTGGCAGATCCCTGTGGCTTGGTCTTTCTCCAGGGTGTCCATGGCTCCGGTGGATATCTGCACGAAAAGACGGGGTGGAAGAATGAGCAGATTTGCTCTACCACCACCAGCCCTGTGTCGGAGGCGGTCAGCACAGCACAGAGGTGGAGGTTGCCAGGGGCCTGGGCCACGAGCTCTGATTCCAGGGTGGGGGCGCGGAGCTGCCTGGGTGACATTCTGCCCCCCCCCCCCCCGCACTGGGCTGTGTTCTCACAGGCCTGTGCTGACTACAAAGAGAGCTCAGCACTGACTACAATGAGAGAGCTTCACCTGATTTGATTTTTTGCATACGGGGTAAATGGTTTCCTCAGGGCACCATGCCCATAGCAAGTGGTGGTGGTGGCACTGAAACCCATACTGCGACAGGCCTGTCCATCCCCAAAGGTCTCCAGGGTTCCCAAGTGGCTGCTGTGCCATTTTCTAACCAAATGGTTGACATTTTTTCGCCATCTGTGATGACATTTTCCTCATTCGAGTGTATTCGTCCCCATTGGACGCAGAATCTCCAGCCTCAACAGAAATGCCAGCCAGCCTGGCGAGCCTGCCTGTGCACACTCATGCCTTGGCCTTGAGGTGAGTGGGCGGGTCTGGGTGCGCCCACCTGCTCCTGCAGGAACAGCTGATTGGCCATCTGCACGATCTGGTCCACGTGGATGATGCCCCCGATGCTCTCCATCTCTGTGTCTGAGAGCAGTGTCAGCACCATGATGGCTTCCACTAGCAGCTGCCGGTACTCGGGCTGGGACACGCGGTTCAGCACTGACTCCACATGGACAGCAAACTTGATCTCCTGTGGGGTCATCTGCCAAAGGGAGATGGGCGGGCAGCCAGCAGTGAGACAGAGTGGATGGAGCCTGTGACTGGCGCTGAGCAGCACTGTGTGGGGCCTGCGCTCGGCCCAAACGCTGCCCCTTTGGCCGCTTCGCTAACTCTGCTGGCAGCGGGTGGGGCACACTCCCCTCTGGGAGTTAGCTGGCCTTGCCCTAGCCTACCTGATACACTCCACTGGACTGTGACTTTCAGTGAGCAGGAAGCATTTCTTAGCCCTTGTGGCATAAAGAGAGGTGCCTTGGGCTGGGTGAAACTTTGATTTGAAAAATCTGTTTCTAAAACGGGGGAGGCAAATAAGGCAGGGAAGATGAGTGCCTCAGCTGGGAAAAGGGGCCCGAGGGGGCGGGCTGCGTGTGGGCCTAGCAGGCGCTGCTTAGAGCGTGCCTTTCTCAGTGGGGCAGTCGGGTCTCGGGCAAACCTAAAGCTCCTGATACTCCACAAATGCCATCTCTCGGGTGGAGAAGGCGGGAAAGGTGAAGCTAGATGAGACCTTAGAAGCCGCTGTGCACGAGCCTGCGGGTCGGGGCAGGACACACAGCACCAGGGTCCGCCCAGGGTTTGGGTTTTTCCCATCATACCTCTCGGGTTGTTGAGGATGGGAGGACATAGCCATCGATGGAGAGACCGTGGCACTGGAGGCAGAACAGAGCTCAGTCAGATTGCAGAACGTGGTCACAAGTGTGCACATGTGTGTACACTCAGGCGCACACGTGTGCACACACCCAATTCTCCCTGCCCTGGAAACCTGCACGAGGGCTGGAACACACCAGACTGTCGGCGTTATTTTTAGAGCGCTTGTTCTCACGGCCCACAGGCTGTGTTTTCCACGGAACAATTCTAGGGAAGCAGCAGGCATCTTAGAGATCGCGCAGTGAACAATGCCCCAGGGAGCTGCCGAGCCCTCCCCGGAGGCTCTGCCTTCGCTTGGCAACCAGGCCCCGGCGGCTGCCAGGTCCCCTTCGGTGCCATAACGAAGGGAGACTTCCATGCCTCCTGCTGGCGAAGTGCTGCTTCTGTGCCTTTGCAGGCATCTATTTTTACGGTTTCTATAATAAGCACCAATCACAAAAGACGCGCGCACGCACACAGACCCGCTCCTGCGCCCGCACCGCCATGCGCATTGATCCGGCTCAACACAAAGCGCTGCTTTTTCATCACAAAGCGTCTTGGTACTGAGCCAGTGCAAGGCTGGGCGGAAACGTGACGGCCCAGGAAGAGCAGGGAGGTCTTCTAGGAGCACTTTGTTCCGGTCTAATTGGCCACCTTGGAACCCTCAGTGGCCTGGCCGGCAGTGGCCTCCGTGGGCCCCAGGAGTCCGGCTGCCCCGTGGGCATGGCCTGCTCTGGAGAGGCGTGAGGAAGGGCTCGGGTCCCACAAGGCAGAGCGGCCACAGGCTCCAGGCCAGCCCACTGCCCCTGTGCGCGGTGCCGAGGGAAGGAGTAGGTAGAAGGCGCTCATTTGATACCGCGTTCTCTCTCCTCTCCCGTGACATGAGTTAAGAGTTCAGAGGCAAAAACCTGTCTTGAGGTGCAGAGCTTTTAACGGGGACATAGTATCCCTCCACACAGGAGGTGAGATGAGCTCTGCTGGGGCCCAGGGAGAGGCACGGATGGTCTGGGGCTGATGGGACATCTCCTACGCTGTCTGCTCCTGGTGACAGGTGCTCAGGTGTGTGCTGTGCAGTCTGGCTGTGCCACCTCACATCAGGGCCCATGATGACCTCTGGTAAGAGGAATGGCCTCCAGGCCAATGGGAAACACAGCCCTATCTGGCCCTAGGAGCAGTGGGCGGCTGGCTACAGGGAGTGGGGCCCAGGCTGGGGAGCAGAGGTGGCCCAGGGCTGAGAGGCTGTGCCTTCAGGGCACCAGGGACCCTGGGCTGATGGGAAACCCTTGTATCTGTGTTCTCGGGCCCAGCAGGGGCCTGATCATGCGCACGTGGATGCCACAGCTGCCTCGTGTGTGTGTGTGTGTGTGCGGCAGCCATTGTTCCGAGCCGCTCGAGGCTACAGGCTGCCTGTAAGTGCTCCTTCTGTGGCCGGGTGCTGCCTGCTACCTGGGTGCCGCCACCTCGCAGGGGCAGGGAGCGGGGAGGGGGCGTCGCGCGCTCACCTTCTGAAGGATCTTCCACACCCTCTGGTAGAAGCCCACGGGGACCCTATTGATGGCTCCGTCCAGCCGCCGCCTGCGCAGCCACTGGCCCTGCCGCTCCCCCCAGCTGATGTGATGTCCTCCCGAGTCTGACGAGGACGTGCCCGTGGGTGAGGACGGGGTGCTGGACCTCTGCAAGACAGACGGCACGTGGCCTGCAGCAGCCTCTCGGGCCTGCTGGCCACACTCGGCAGTGCCCCAGGGGATGGGTGGCCAGTGGAAGTGTTGGGGCCCATGGCTCCAAGAGGAGTGCGACTCCATCTGGGCCCTTTCTGGACGCTGGCTGAACCTCTCGGGCTGCAGTTGGCTACCTGACTTCCTGCATGTGTTCCTCCTCATCCCCAGAGGTGCCACAGCAGCAAAAGGAGTCCGGCTGCCGGGGACGGGGCCGAGCGGGTGAGGGCGTGGCTCTGGGGCCAGAGTGCTGCTGTGTCCAACTCGAGACTGGCTGCCGATGACCTCAGGGCAGCCTGTGTAGCCTCTATCCTAACTTGGCCTAGCCTTGGGATCGCAGGTGCAAGCAGCCTGTGAGTCCTCGCCAAACGAAGGAGCACCACCCCGAGAGCATGCCGGGCTGTGCCCAGTGCTCCTGAGGCAGCCACCTCTGTGCCGGCTGCCCCGCTGCAGGAGAGCTCGGGGTGACACCAGGCCCTGGGGGGGGGTGTGAACCTCTGCAGAGCACTCGCAGCCCAGGAGAGGTGGCACAGTGCCCACCCATGCAGGATCATGGAGAAGTGACAGTCCCCTCTGGGGCACAGGTGCCACAGAATGCAACACCCCCAGGAGTAGGGAGCTGAAGCCAAGGGCACACGGAATGGTGAGGAGTCGCAGTGTGGCCACCCACCCTTTCCAATCCTGCTTTCCTGGTGCCGGGCTTTATCCTGCTGGGGGTGGTCGGGGGCCCTGGCTGCCTCCAGGCTGGGAACAGGGGCTTTGAGAAGTGACGGAGGAAGGCATCGTCTTTCCTTCTACCTCCTCACCCTTCTGGCCTGCGCGCGGGAGCTACTGCAAGGCAGCTCAGATGCCCAGTGGGGTCTGGAGACTGGGTCAGGAAGTGGGGCTCTCCCTGGGTCCCCTCAAGCCTGCTGTCTTGCCCTAGATGGCTCCCCTTCATCCGTACACGTATCTTTGTTCTGGGCTATTTGGCACTCAAAGCAAGTATCAAAGGTCTGAACACGGAACGGAAACCCAGAAACCCGAGGCACACCAGCAGGGCAGGCGGCAGGCGTCCTCTGCATGCATTTGGGCTTCCAGAGATCTTATTTTGAAAAGGCAGTTAGGCTGCATTATTCCACTGGGCTCATTACTGCCATTTAAATAAGGCAACAATTAGATCCAAATAAAAGTAATTACAGCCACACTCATCAATGACTCAGCTGATCTCTCCTCCTCGTTTGGAAGAGGCAGATTCGCCTGCGCACCACACAAAGGCACAGAACCACTCCTGGGGCTTCTGCGCTGAGCAGCGAGGAACCGATAGCTTGGCGGGGACAGCGCAGCTCGACTCAAGGGTTTTCGGGTCCTATTTCTCGACTCTTAGGCTACAGGCGTCAGAGGAAAACGCCCTAACCCTGCTCCGATCCTCTGTGGCTCGGGAGGTGGGGGGCCACTGTGGCACTCAGGCGGTCCCAGCAGGGGCCAGGGAGACGCAAGGGTTCCGGCAAGCGGTTTACCACAGACTTGGAGTATGCGCTGCTAGATACCGTCTGGCTCACAGGAAAGAACTAGGAAAGAAAAAGAAAGGACTCGGTCATGTGCAGTGACACGGAGGGGCGTGAGCAGAAAGGAACAGCCACAGCAAACACGCAGCGGAAGGGGGCGGGCACACGCCAGTTCCCGCCCCGAACCGGCAAACCCAGCCTTGAGGGCAGCTGCAGCAGAGCCCTGGGCTTCCCCGGGTCGAGTGTGTCCTCAGCCAGTCAACGTCACGAGACCCCGGCGGTACATGAGGGCGTTTCGTCATGTTGGGACGCTATCTTCCAAAGGCCCCAAACGCTAGCATCTTGGTGCTGAGGTGAGCATCTACAGACGACTAAAGTATCTGTATCTGGCCCTGACACCTGGCACCTGGCAGGCATTTGATAGATTTTATATAACGAACACAAGTGACTGGGCTGATACCCTCCAGCCGGATGTCTCCTCATCAAAAATCTAGAATGTTTCCTTAACTTGCATGGGGCTAATGCCCTATAGACAGGGTATTTCTGTAAAAACGAGGAGCAACTTAAAATGCTGTGGCACCCATTACATTTTCAGCAGAGAATAATATGTCTCCTTGACATAAGTGGCCAAATACAGAACTTGTACTGGCTGATCGAATGCAAACCCATCAAAGAAAGGTGATCATTCTGTCCCCACAGCGCACAGGCACAGCATGAAGGAGGCAAAAGGAGCCACCCGTGTTCAGCCCCGGGCAGGCTCTTGGGATGTGGGTAACCAGAGTGACGGTGCCACCGAGTGGCTGGCATAGGAAGATGTTTACACAGTCAGTTTCTTGTAAAGAGCATGAATTAGCATGAGAGCAGGTATGGTTTCCTCTTGGACAACTTGTGAAATCTGCAGGACAGGTCATCACGGGGCGTCAACTCATTAGCAGTGTGACCCCAAGTTTCTGGAGGGAGGATGAGGATGTGACGAGGTGAGAGAAGAGAAAAAAGGTATCCTAGGGCTTTTTCCTTTGCATGGTTAAGCTTGCCACGCCATCTGTGGACGAGAGGAGTTGACCACAGCCCCCCCTGCTAACTGTCCTAGTTAGCTCTTTTAAAAACACTCCCACTGGGGCAGAGCCTGGAACAGCTCTTTGGCAAAATATCCTACAAAAGCCCAAGAGTTGGCTTAGTGGACTTTGTTTTTAAGGGAAGGGACAAGGTCATTGCTCCTGTCTTGGAGTCCGGCTCTCTGCTGCAGCCTGTGGAGCACCCCACCCCCCTTCCCCACCAGTCCAATGAGAGCCTTCCCCCACACTTTCATGTTCTGCACATGCACAGCCTTGCTTTCCACATCCAATGCAGAAAGAACAGGAAGCACACACAGCAAAGGACAAAACAAGGCAAAAACATTTCACCTGTTCATCAGCGCTAAATCGCCTGGTCATCTGAAAGTGGAAAAATCAGGAAATGAACAAAAACCAGCTCTGAGTCAAGGACACTCTATTTCTGTCGGCCTCTAACAGTGCAGGACAGTGTTAGTCACACGGCAGGGGGTGACCCATTAGCGCTCTGCAGACTGCAGCTAGTGGGTCCTGACCAGCACACTAGAAATGGAGGAGGAAGTCGAAGGGCATTTCTCGCTGTAGGGCACAAGAAGGGAACTGTTTCCCACTGTGGCTCATGATCAAGTCCTAGCACAGTACCTGGCATGCTAACGCTGCAAAGATGTTGAGTGGTAGTGCTGTGGGGTCAGCTCCAAAGGACTTTTGTGAATCAAACATAGAAAAGAGGCCTGTAGGTGGTGGAGGATCCAGCCATTGCCGGCATTCCAGCCTACTTCAGAGCCTGTTAGCCATTGCATTGGAGGGACATATTTGAGAGCAAGGTGATTAAGTTGCTTTTTGTATGACTACTTTGAAGTGGTAGAGAGGCCAACACAGACAAGGGGATGTTCTAGAACATTCCCATAACATGACATTAAGGTCAAAGATGCATGGGTGCAGGTGCACACCAGTGGCTCTGGGATGCCTATGTGGGTACCAGGTGTGTTCTTGTGCCAGGGCAGAAGGGACAACCCCCCCCCCCCCAGGTGCTTTCCTTACCTGTTTCATCTCGCTCCTCAGCCTGTTAATGCCACTCCTCTCTGTTTTGGTGACTCCAGTATGTCCTACCTCGTGGATGGAGATGGCAGGGCTGGATGCAGAGGAGTGGATAGGACGCACTGGAGGGAAACACACACATACACACACGTGGGCCAGCCTTTGAAACCAGAGGCTGCTCGCTCCGAGGCAGGAAAGATGGCACTGGTTTGGGATCTGCATCTGTCTCATACACTCGATCAAGAACGCCAGGTCAGGGCCTTGCCAGCACGGGCTCGCCCTGTGGCTCTTGATGGCATGTATGAAAGTGAAAGTCACCACAGTAGCACGCACAGAGGCCAGAGATCCCTTAATGAGATTTGATAGGCTTTTTAAAAACATTTTACTTATCCAAAAGCACACCTTTCTTGTGGAAAGCCTAGACCACCTCACTAAGGAAACCAGAACTAATCTGTTTTCCCAGCTTGTTCTGACTCTACGTTTCTGACCTTAAACAGAACTGCTGCATATGGATGTACATGTCCCAGCTATGTGCCTAGCTTGTGTCTAGAAATAAATCTGTGGGCTCCTGTGACCTGGCTTTCTGCACTTCACAAGTCACGAGTGTCTGTGGCACTAAATATTCTATCACGTTGTGTCCTAACGACTGCATGGTGTTTCATATGACTTAATACACTCAATCTTACTAGGAATTTTCAAGAGGGTTGGTCATGACTAAGATGTAGGACCCCACGCCAAGCTTGTTGGGTTCTGACCCAGCGCCATGTGACTCAGGGAATGAGCTTCCAACTCGGGCACCACGGGCTGCAATCGTGGGCCGAGTGAAAGGCTTGGTGCCCGGGGCCAACAGGCGCAGAACTCCGTGCTGGAGCAGTGCGGGGAGGAGAGGCTGCCCAGGCCCGAGGGCTGAGGTATGACATGACACGGAGGTAGAGGGGCATTTGGTATGATGGAGAGCCTGGGGCTGGAGAAGGATGTGAAGGGAGAGCCAGACGGCCAGAGCTGGACGCAGGGCAGGCGGCTGGTGCTGCTGCTGACCCAGCAGGACAAGGAAGCTCTCCCCCACCACCCCCTTGCTTCCTAGGGATACTCGCCGGTCTCCGGTCCAACCCCCCGTGAGCAGGCATCTCTATTAGGGTCACAGTGATCATTCTTAAAAGGCAGGAGTGACCATGTCACTGCTCACTGGGAATCCTCCCAGGCCTAGCTGTGTCTTCAGGATAAAGCCCAACAGTCCCCCTGGAGCCACGTGAAGCTCCACTGGCTGGAGCCTTACCTGCACTACTTCGCTCCCACTTCCAGGCCAGCTGCACCATGTAGGCACTTGCTGTTCCTGGCTGTCCTGGCTCCTCCCCTTGGAAGGCCCAGCTTGAAGGCCACTTCCCGCCATACCCTACTGAAACCCTGAGAGTAGATAGCATGGCCCAGGGGAGGTAGTGACAAGTATGGAACCCAGGGACACCAACATTGAAAAGACAATGGAGGAGGAGGAACCCACAAAGGGGGCAGGACAGTTGGCCCTGGAGGGAGAGGGGACAGCAGAAAAGTGGAAAGCGAAACTCCAACGGGGTCTGGGACACCCCAGGAGGGCCTGCTTGGGCTGGGCACTCGCTGGGAATATGTCTCTTCTGCATCTACGTGTTTCATCTGCATTCTAAGCCTATTTGACTTAGGAAAACTGAACAGTCGCAAAGGACAACTATGAAATGTTGGATCTTAAAGACGCATGTCTCCTGTCCTTATTCGTAATCAGACCCAGTTCAGGCTTCCCAATGACGTGACTCGGTTGAGTCCCATTTTCCGAGGCAGCTGCAGCGTTCCAGCTACTGACAAACTCTTGGTATGCATGGTTTGACACAGATAATTACCATCACGATCAGCAGCACACATGAAATATTTAACTCGTCTATTTCCATTTCAAGGCGCGTGCACTGGAGAGAACTGGGAATTACTTTTGGAAAGTGGCCGCAGTGCCGCTCCCTCAGCAAAAGACAAGCGCCAGGCACATCTGATTGCACGGCACTGGCTGTTTGTGGCTGGCACACTGGGGGAAAATACTGTGGACCCGATGTCCTTATTAAAGGAATGACACCCCCTGCGGCCAGTGCGTCCCTTTGGCTTGCTGAAATGAATTCACCCATGTGTTTGCAAATCATTGAGCCTTTTTAGGAGGAAGAGAAATGATCATTGCTTCAGTTATAATCGGGGAGCATCTGAGAACAAGAATCACGCCTAGGCCTCGGTGATCGATTTGCTAGCACTGAGCAGGGCTCTGGTGCTGAGGCGAAGCTGAGCGAGCAACCCTGGGCAGAGAAGTAAAGGAACTTGGCTCAAGGCTTTGACTCAAAGCCAAGGGCAGGCCACTTGGGTGATTTGGAAGGATGGCCCTTAGGTCCTGACACTCCAGGTGACCCCTGCTTCCAACACACATACACACACACACACCCCCACATACATGACACCTGTGCATGGGTGATGGTGCTTGGTACTTAGGGCCAGAGGGAAAGCAAGGTGTGCACAGGGTGCCTGTGTGCCACTCCACCTCGTGGAAGCAACGCTTGCCCAGCAAACCTGTGCTGGCCATCTCAAAGCCCCAGAAGTGGACACCTTGAGCCTGGCCCCTAGCCCTCCGAGTCACATCGGAACCTCACTTGCACACTGTACCTCACGGCTCTAGTTTACATGCTGATCTGCAGGCAGGAGGCAGAGGGAACAGCATGTACTCACTGCTTCTTTCGACGCCAAACTCTTTGCCACTAAGGATGTGGTGCAGGAGGTTTTTCATATCGAAAGGGCTGAGGTTCATCAAACTTTCAGAGGCTTCTTCTCCTAAAGAAAAACATCTCGTGAGCTTCCCAGCCAGTCACTGGGGGAGGCAGCTTCGGGGGCCAGAGGCGGGGTGACAGGGTGCTGTGTCCTTCACCTCGGCCTTGAGGCTGACACGCACTGACCCTCAGACTCCAAGCGCTTAATTGTTTGATACCTAACTTTCCCATGCTGCCAACGCCCGATGTTGTGATGCATCTTGCAACTGACTTTTCTACTTAAACTGGTTGTTTCTTCCAGGGGAGGTATTATAAATGGGGTAAGGCATCTCGCAGCAAGGACAATCGGGAGTAAGGAGCTGGAATACCAGGTGCAAGGTTCGCTCTTGAGTCCTGGAGGAATCACTAGTGCTGTGTCCTCCCTGACAGTGAACTTCACCCTAAGCCGCATGGCCTGATGGGGAGCTACAGCTCCATGAAAGCAGCTGGGGAAGCCCGAGCTCGCCGAAGGGGGGAAGCCTGGTTCTGAAAACACTAGCAGGGCTTCCCGAATGAGCGAGTGTGCACCACGGCCGCTGGGGCCAGGGGGAGCCGCTGCTTCTCACCTGAGCAGTTGAGGCTCCTCGCCAGCTCCGTGGCCATCACCTGAATGATCAGTCCAATCCGGAGTCTGAGCATCTCCACGAAGAGGCTGGGCTGGGCCCTGACGTACATGGCCAGGTAAACCACAATCTCCTGCCGCGGGCACACAGGAGCACAGAGCTTCAGCCACCCAGTGGGGCTGAGGCCCTGGCCGTGCCCCCACCCCTCCCACGCAGGCCCCTGACCTGGGTGAGGACCGCGATGCTGATGTCTTCCCCGCTGGCCTCGTAGATGAGCTGTGTGAGCTCCTCTGGGGGAAGGGGCCTAGGAAGGAGGGTGGGGTCGCAGACACGGAGGAGGTGCCTCGGGCGGTGCCTCCTCAGCCTCCATGGGAGAGTCTCACTTTCTGTGCCCACGTGACAACTTTCAGGAGCCCCTCCTGGACAGCGGAGAGCACCGCGGAGGTCCCACGGCTCCCCCCAGAACCTGACATCCCAGGGCGGGGCACTTACGCAGAGATGGTCTTCTCGCGGGGCTCGGGCGGCAGGCCCACTGTGAGCTGCTTCTGGTGGGAGAGCAGGTCTGCACAGGCCTGCATGTTTGGGGGGAGCGGTGGGGGAGATGCAAAGTTGATGAGGGAAGGTGGGTCATGGCCAACAAGCTCCTAAGTCTGCCTTCATGAATGCCATGGCTCATCTGGCCCTTTATTTCAAAATCCACACCTAGACCTTGCACTGAGCAGCCCAGGCAGGGCTGGGTGCCTGCAATCTCTGTATCTCCCTGTGGAGTCCTATGGGCTCTGCAGAGCCCAATAGTAGGCCACTTACTGCCCATGCATTGGAGCTACCATGGAGGACCCCTTGATACTCAACAAGGCCAGGGGTGTGTCCAAGACAGCGATGGCGAGAGTTAACGGCCACGTCCTATTCCTAAGTCGCCATCTTCGCCATTGATCACGTGATGAGATACCATCACACTGGACCTGTCTTAGACAGTGGTGTGAATTTTGCAGGGCCTCAGGGCTGTGAATATTAATGATCATTGTGCTGTGCAAGTGCAAAAATAAGAACTAAGAGGATGCCAGGCCCCAGTGTGCTTTCATTTGATTTCTGTTGAAGCTTCCTTCTCCAGCTAGGGAGGACTAAAATAATCAACTTGAGTTTTCTTCCCTGTGTTCACCTTCCCAAAGCAGTGGGAGGTCAGCAGAGGCCTTGCACCAGCTCTAGATGAAATAATTGCTTCCCTTACAAACAAGAGGCGCTTGCCTTGAGTTCCAGTGACCAGAAGGTTGGAAGTAGGAGGGGACATGGGGCTAGGGAGGACAAACGGACAGCCCGGCTGGCACCACTGCTCTACCTCGGCCAGGACCTCCACTTTCTTCCTGAGCAGGCCCGAGATGTAGCGAATCAGACCCCACTCCTGGTTCAAGCCAGCTTTCCCGTAGAGCTCACTGAGGAGGTTGTGAACGGTGACCCCGTGCTGTCCGGAGAGAGCTGTGTCCCAGCTTGGACCCCTGTCAGGAGGAAAGACACCTGGACATTGGGCCTGGAGTGTTTAAAGGCAGGGAGAAGGATGGATCACTGTCCAAGGCCTTAGCCACTCCAGAGCCTGTGAGTCTCAGGATTAGAGCCTACCGAAGCATCCCATCCCTAGGTCTTTAGACGTGGATGTTTAATAATGGGACACTAGGGTCCTGGCCTCCCCTAGCCTTCTCATGCCGGGAGGCCGGTGTCAGCCATGGAGGAGGGGGTGGAGGCCTCGCTAGTGGTGGGCCTGGCTAATCTGGGTGACGATCATCCTAACCGAGGCTTGCTAGAATGCCAACAAGCCCGTGGAAGACTCGAGACTTGGAAGCTGGGCCCGGGGAAGGCCGTCAACTTACTGCTGCAGCCTGGATGCCTCTGCTCCCCTGCAGCTCCTATGTCAATCCCAACCCCCGAGGTAGTGGTATTAGGTGGCAGGGCCTCTAGGAAGTGGTGAGGTCACGGGGCAGAGCCCTCATGAGTGGGATTTGTGCCTTTAGAAAAGAAGCCCCAAAGGGCTGAGCTCACCCGCCCCACTGTGTGAGGACATGGCTGGAGGGCACTGCCGATGAGAAAGTGGGCCCTCGAGACACCGAGTCTGCCTGGATGCTGGATTTTCCAGCGCCCAGGACTGAGGCTGTTGCGGGGTTGGTGAGCCAGCCTGAAGGGATCGAGACTCACTTGAGCACATACAGGATGTACAAGATGTCTGCCTGGTCCTGTAGGGTGCAGCAGTCCTTCAGCTGCTCCACCAGCTTCTCGCAGTCCACGTCGCCTCGCTCGTCTTTGGGCCAGTGGCAGTCGCCTTCAGGATCCTGGCCACACAGTGGAAAAGCAGGGGAGGGAGCTGAGCACGGGAAGGAACTTTGAAAGCCAGCCCGCTCCTCTGAACCTGTGCTGTGCTCCAGTTTGTCAGTGACTCTCTTGTCCCTTTTTATTTATAGGCTGTTTTTTGACCAGTGAATCACTGTGTTGGACAGAGTTCACAAGAGATGGGACTAAACAGGTTCACATTTATGTGAAGTTAAACAAGGCTAACCTCTGGTGTCAGAAATCCTACCGCAGTTATCTTTGGACAGGATGGGGGTCGGGGCAGAGGGTGGGAGGGGAGGAAGGATGGATCCCTGTGTATTTTGCCAAAGCCTTGGGTGCTCCTGGCACCTCCTGAGCCTCATCAGGAGGGTTCAGTCCTTCCAAAGCATCCCTGTGTCTCTTACGGTGGAAGCCTCCCGTCTGGAAGCTGTGGGATCCTGGCCTGCCCTGGCCCTCCTGTCTCTGGAAGGCCAGCATCAGTAGGAAGAGCCAGCGCTGCGTGTCCCCTATCTACACGTGTGTACTGGCTCAGTGCTAATTCCCTGCTCTCTGTACTTCACGTGCCTTTCTTAGGTTACACTCAACTACTACTTGTAGGTAAAGTGAACAAAGTACATTTTACATACCCTACAATGGAGGTACGTTAAAGTGTTCTCCAAGACACTGGATCTTTCTATTCGGGTGGGGTAAATCGGGGGAGACTTATGGATAAGAAATGATAACAAATGGGAATACCCACCCAGAGATTGCATCCCCCTGAGGAATCCATAACTGGTTTTTATTACACTAAGATGTCAGAGTTCATGTCCTGTGTTGCAAGCAGTCCTACCTCGGCTGGTGGACGGGGTGAGGCAGTGAGCTGGTTTATTTCCTCTAGGGCTGGGGCACCTTTTTTCTGACAAGGGCCACGGGGATGTTCCTAACGCTACTTCTGGGCCATACAAAATGACCAACTTGAAAACTAGCCTGCTAGCGACTCGATGAGTTGCCAGTCCTGCCTATGGCTGCCTCAGCAGGGCTAGACCAAATGAGTTTTGTGGGCCTCGTTTGCCTGGCGGCCAGACATTCCCTACGCCTGCCGGTGTTAGGTTGATTCTGATGAAGGCAGGAAGGCAAGAGCCTTTTCCTATAAGCAAAATACAGAAGTTGGCATCAAATTCGGTGAACACACTGATGCCCATCGGCCTGCAGACAGTCTAGTAACTGGTGTCCTAGCCAAACCTAGAACTGCTGAAGGGAAACCTCTTTGAGATCGAGAAATGGGCTCGCTCTTGTGAGCGCAACCACTGAAGAGTTCTTGGGACTGATCAGCATCACAGAGCATTATTTTTCTTAGTGTTATCCCAGACAGTTTACCTTTTTAAGGAGTGGCTGCGGAGAGTCGACAAGATTCAGCGACTTACGGTGGACGCTGAGCGCTTTGGTTGGCAAAGTCATGGGGGCAACTAGGAAACAGAACAGCAGAGGTCTCCTGAGGAGGGAGAAGATTAAACCTTTCCTTGGGCCGAGCCCCGGCTGTTGCTTAACAGGAGCCAACTGAGGGAATGGTTACTTCTTGCATTTAGATTTTTCCCAAGAAGTTACTGTGTAGCCACTGGGAAGGAGAAAAGCGGGACAAGGGTCTTGCACTGAAGAGCTAAACTCCGCGTTTTCCCTCGTGGAATTCAAGGAAAAGCAGGCAGCCCTTTAGGACTGCAAGGTGCCTTAGAAGCGACTGAGCCTGGTTTCCTTTCAGAGAAGGAAACCGACACCCAGGGAGGGGGACTGTTTGCCCAGGGTCCCTGGGGGCTCCCACAGTCACACTGTCCGGGCCTCCTGGTTCACTCCGAGGCTGTCGGGTGTTAGGGCTTATGTTTGAACCACCTTTGCATGTCACGTTGCCAAGATTTGCTCGCTAAGCCGTCTCTCTTCCAAGCTATATGGGAGACTAGGAAGCTTTCAACGTGAAGTGGATGCATCCTTACAAGGTATTTATAGGCCCCAGGTTATACTAGTGTCTATAACACATCGTAACTTTAATTCCCCCTTCTAAATCCTGCCCAACACTACAGAAAGTATTTTTTTCCAAAGAGACAAATCTTGAACAGGAAAAAGCAGAACAGGAACAAAATCTCGGCCACCGCAAGCTGATGGATAAAGGACAAGTGCTCTCACACACACCAGGTTACCAGATCCTGGGTCTGCAGTGGGGGAAACTCGGACCAGTCAGATGGACGTCAGAGTCCGCGGAAGTCTCGGGACCCCCGGGAACATGCTGCACTGTGGGCCTCTTGAGCTGCGAGTCCACAGGGGTGTACAAGAAACAACTGGGAGAAGCAGCGCACTCCTAGCTGCCGCCCTCCACCGCACACGGCTCAGCGGCCACCTCACTTGCTCCACCAAAGATCTGATGTCTGTGAAGCTGGGTGCGGGGGCAGGGTGTCTCTGGGTAGAGTGGGGCTGATCAGCAGGGCTGGAGGCCTGAATACCTCCCCTAGGGAGATTAAGTGCCTGCCTGTGCAGGTCCAGGCAGCCAGACCTTTACTCTTTAAATAAGAGATGGAATAAAAGCTCTGAATATCTGACCAGCCTACATCCATATAACCCTGACTCAATAAGCCCCACCCTAGGGGAAGGCCTTGTGGCCATAATAAACAACGCATCAGATTGTGACTGCACATATGAGACAAGGATGGATGCCATTTGGGGAACAAAGATGTAAAACATGACAGCAAAGTGAAGAGTCAACTTGGCGGGGGGTGGGGTGGGGGTACAACACCAAGCTTAGGCAACTGCCCTCGAAAGAGGCAAAGAGATAAAGACAAATGATGCAAACTTTTCCAGGAAGCCAACCTTGGAATCGCAGAAGGACTGGAACGAACGTGGGGAACGAAACAGGGCAAGGTTTTCAGAAAAACTTCAGATGGAAAACCATAAAACTGCAGGTTGGAAAGGCCCCCTGAGCTCCCAACAGAATGGGTGAGAACGCACCCAGGTCAAAGGCTGTAACTGAAGTCTGAGAGCGTGAGAGCAGAGAAGGCCCCAGAAACTCGAAGAGAACAAATTTGTCTGAAGGATTGAAAATGGGAGAAGGTTTAGATTTCTCAGTGGCAACAGTGACGCCAAGAAAACAATGTTGCTTCCAAAAACACCTCTACGGAGGTGGAGGGATCGGCAGCCAACCTGGGAAGGACCAGCAGCAAGCCCGGAAAGGGCCGAGCAGACGAAAGAACAGCGCAGGGTCCTGTGTCGTTCCTCCGTGAAGAGGGGGAGCGACATAATGGTGCCGTGACTCGGATGTGAAACCTAGGAGGGAAGAAGTGGGAAAGTACCGGAGAGAGACTAGGGAAGAGCCTAGGGAAAAGCCGGATGGAAAAAGTGCCAGGAGAAGTCTAGGGGTGAAAGTGAAAGCAAGAAGAAACATAGACTCGGATACGGACTACGGGGGGAAGCTGGGAGAAATCTAAGATTAAAAGTGAACGTGAAAGCTACGGACTGTGGGGAGAAGCCAGGAGAAATGAGAAATATTGTTGGAAGAAAGTTAGGAAATATACCGGGTAAAGAAAAATATTAGTTAGGGAAAATGAAGCCGCGGGGGTAGGCCGAAGTGGAGACGTAAGCTAGGTTGGGATTCGTCAAGTCAGCCCAGGAAACAAAAGGCGAAAAACTAAAACCAGAGGCGGAGACGTGTGAGCTAGGTTGGAATCCGTCAGATTAGCCCGGGGAGCAAAAGACGGGAAGCCAAACCGAAAAGCGGAGACGTAAGCTAGGTTGGATTTCGTCAGGTTAGCCCGCGGAACTTAGACTGAAAACTAACCGGTAGCGGAAACGTGAGCTAGGCTGTGATTCGCGGAAGCTGCCACGCGCAGAGAAAGTGCACAGGGCGCGAGTAGATAGGGAGTGTGCGCGAAGCCCGGAAGCCGCGCAGGTGAGAAGTGCAGGCTGAAGCCGCGCAGAGCGGGGAAGCCACCGTGGGGCAAGGTGCCGAGAAACCGCCTCGGGCGGGTGCCGGGAAGCCGCAGGGATAAGAGAAACAGAAGTATAGAAGTAAAATGAGAGAAATAGGAATGCTGGCAGATAGAAGTAAAATAAGAGAAATAGGAATGCCCAGAGATAGAGAAATAGAGAAAAATAAGGCCTCCCCACAACATGACAATGAGAGGGCTTGGATTCGGTCCACCTGATTAGGCGATAAGCACCAGCAGGCAGCTCGACCAGAGTATGAGCCGCAGGTCACCGAAGACAGGCACGTTATCAACACCAATAAGTCTCCCCACAAGACGGCAATGAGAGGGCTCGGATTCAGTCTGCCTGATTAAGGCGATAAGCACTTGCAGGCAGCTCGAGCAGAGCATGCGCTGCAGGGCACCGAACACAGGCACGCATCAGCGCCTAAAAACCTCACAACATGGTGAAGAGAGGACCCGGATTTGGTTTGCCTGATTAGTAGGGCTTGTAAGCACCTGTGGGCAACTCTAGCAAGCAGAGCAGTGCGCCGCGGGGCACCGAAGACAGGCACGTATCAACGCCAAAGAATAAAAAGAAAGGGGGAACTGTGGGGAGCAACTGGGACTAGGCTAAGTTACTGGAATTAAGACTTATTCTATGCATCTGCTCTCCCACAATATGGCGCTGGGAGAGGAGTAAACAACTTCACAGCTGCCTCCAGTTTGACCAATAACCTGCAGGAGCTGATCCTGCTCCTGATTGGAGGAGAGCAGCGTGCTCGGCGTGTGGGTAGCAGAGTTGGGATTGGTGGAAGAGGACTATAAAGGAGGAGAGACAACATGCACCTGGAACATCTGAGGGGAACATCCGGATGGCATCTGAGCAGCCCCCGAGAGCCGGCCAGCGGTGTGCTGCTCCTCCGCGGAGGTGGGGAGGGTGGCGGGGGGAGCCGCCCTTCCACGGAGGTGGAGGGATCGGCAGCCAACCCGGGAAGGACCAGCAGCAAGCCCGGAAAGGGCCGAGCAGACGAAAGAACAGCGCAGGGTCCTGTGTCTTCCTCCGTGAAGAGGAGGAGCGGCACCTGGCTCCTGCCTTCAGATCAGCGCGGTGCGCCGGCCACAGCGCACCAGCCGTGGCGGCCATTGGAGGGTGAACCAACGGCAAAGGAAGACCTTTCTCTCTCTCTCTCTCTCTCCCTCTCACTGTCCACTCTGCCTGTCAAAGTGAATACTGATTCAATTAAACTTACAATTACCTTGGTTAGGGGAAGTGAAGTAGAATGATGACTTAAAATCGCTAAATCCTGCCCCACACAACAGCAAGTCAGTAGGTACTAAAACAAATGACTGCACTAAGACAATAGTATACACACTTAGAAACGCAGAGCTGTGAAAATGCCAGAAGCAGCAGCTAAGAGGGTGAAAGTAGTCTCCTCTCCATAGGAGGGCAAGGCATTTCGTTGCCGTTTATGATTCTTGGACTTTTAAGTTGTGTCCATGCGTTACTTTGAAAGCAGGTATGTTAACAGTCAGAAAAAGGTTTAATAACATACATGGAACTTCCAGACCCTTTGCTTTTGCCATCATGGAAAGTATGTCCCGAGTGGAGTGGATGGCACTGAAAACATTGTGGTCTTCCATCTTCTTACACAGAGGAGGCAGATGGCACTTTGAGTAGGTGCTTTGCAGAAGGTGGTTGATGTACTTGTCAAGTTCATCTTGGCTTTCTGTAACTGGACAAGACAAAGAGCCGCTGAGAAGAAGCCGTAGAAATAACCAAATACTTAATGGTGACTGTGTTTAACATGCAGCACTGAGTGGATTCAGTGAAAGACAACATCTAGATATAGATGTTTGTGCCCCACACACTCAGTAAAAAGCGATTTAGAGAATGCCTGTGTGCATGAACTCATATGGAGAAACTTCATTCCAGGATAAGAAAATACATGCCAAAATTCGTGTTACATCACATCGTAAGATGAACTGAATAATACATAAGACAACCTGAAGGATGGCAGTCGCTGTCCAGTACTTTTGTCACGAGGGAGCTAACCCAGCTACTATTAAAGTTAAAAACAGGTCACTTGGACTCGAGCTTGTTCAGAATTGGGAAATGTTATGTTCAAAGGGCTTAATGCAATCAAACTTAGATCCTTCTATTCCTTTGAAAAATTCCAGCAATATAATTCTGTCTTCAGACTATCTTGTGAAAAGTTCTCCTTTCTGAAACTCCTTGTCCCTCTGGGTTTTTTAAAGTGCCACTTTTAAGGCCATAACTTGGAGTTTAGGTTTTTGTTTTTAAATTTTATTCATTTGTGGGGCTGGCGCTGTGGGTGTAGTAAGTTAAGCTGCCACCTCTAGGGCATCCCATATGGGCGCCGGTTCGAGTCCCAACTGCTCCACTTCCAATCCAGCTCTCTACTGTGGCCTGGGAAAGCAGTGGAAGATGGCCCAAGTCCTTGGGCCCCTACACCCACGTGGGAGACCCGGAAGCAGCTCCTGGCTTCAGATTGGCACAGCTCTGGCCAGTTGGAGAGTGAACTAGTGGATGGAAGACCTCTCTGCCTCTTCTCTCTGTACAACTGACTTTAAATAAATCTTTAAAGAATTTTCTTTATTCATTTTGAAAGGCTGCTTGAAACAGGTCTTCCATTAGCTCACTTCCTAAATGCCTACAATAGCCGGCTCTGGGCCAGGTCAAAATCTGGAGTCAAACTCCATCTGGGTATCCCACATGGGTGGCCAGAGACCCAAGTACTTGGACCACCATCTGCTGCCCCTCGGAGTGTGCGTTAGCAGGGAGCTGGAGCGGAAGCAGAAACAGGACTTGATCCCAGGCACCTCTATATGAGAAATGGGTGTCCCAAGTGGCAGCTTAACCCACTGAACTATAACACCCACCCCAAGTTGAGGCATTTAAACTGTATGTCATTTTGATATACAAGTTTCAGAAAGTTCTTTGTTTTGGTTTCAGTTTAATTACCAATCACTTTCTGGGCCTGAGTCTGACAGTTTTTTCAAAATGGGTTTAAATTCATTGAACCACCCTGAAAAGCATTCCGAGAGGATTGTATTGTGACACAGCAGATTAAGATGCACTTGCAGGGGCTGAAGCTGTGGTGCGGTGGGTCTAAGCCATCCCTTGGGATAACGGGTATCTCCTATGGGAGCCTTGGTTTGAGTCCTAGCTGCTACATCTCCAGTCCAGCTTCCTACTAATACTGCTGGGAAGTCAGTGGAGGATGATCCAGGTACTGGAGCCCCTGCCACACACTGGACAGACACCTGGATGAAGTCTGGCTTCAGCCTGGCCCAGCCCTGGCTGCTGTGACCTTTTGGGGAGTGAGCCAGCAGATGAAAGATTTCCCTCTGCATCTCTCTCCCTGTCACTCTGCCTTTGAGATAATCTTAAACACCACTTGCAATGCCAGTATCCCATCTTGGGGTGCTCGTTTGGGTCCCTACTACGGTATTTCCAATCCAGCTTCCTGGTAGGAGTGGGGAACATCTGGCCCATGGGCCATGTAAGGCCCACAGAGTCATTTGGTCTGACCCTGGCAAGGCAGCCTGTAGGCAGGACTTGAAATTTAACAAACCTATAGCAGGCTAACTTTTAGGCTGATCATTTTGTATGGCCCACAAGCAATGTTATAAACACCCACATGGCCCTTGGCAGAGAAAAGGTCCCCACCCCTGAGCGCCTAGGAAGGTAGCAGAGTCAGGCAGCTTGGGTCCCTGCCACCCATGTGGGAGATGCAGATGGAGTTTGACTTCTGGCTTTGGCCTGGCTCAGCCCTAGCATTTGCAGGCATTTGGGGAGTGAACCAGCAATGGAAGATCTGTCCTTCTGCCTTGCAAACAAACAAGTAAAACTTGGAGCATTCTGAGCCATACCTTGATTATAAGTTTCTTCTAAATATCCTCCTAAATCCGAATCGCTATCAGGACTGAAGCTTCCTTCGCTGGCATCATCGAACAACTTCTCATCACAGTCTGGATCCAGGAAGGTCAGATATGTGTAGAATGATGTGGTGAGAAATTCCGAAAGGTTCCCTAACTGGACTCTGCCGAGAGAACACTATGTTAACGATACCAGCGGTGCGCTGACCGACTTCTGTTCCCTCCAAGCATGGAGAGACTTCTCAATGACCAGGCGGTGCCCGAGTCAGATCAATAAATTGCTTCACAGACTGCTCCAGAGGAGTTGTCGGCCAAGAGATTCAAATAAAAATTCAACAGTAAATAGGAAGTGAAGGCAAGTGAGTCGTGCTGCACTCCTACTCCCAAACCCAACACAGATACAAATCTATTTTACCAAACCAACCAGAAGCTTGACAAGTTATTATGCAAACAGCTTCTAACCAGAAGCAACCCTGAAGCAATGCTTCCATGAGCTTGTGTCATTATTTGAGTCCTTCCTACAAGGTGTGCTCACACCCACCGGCACAGGGGAGTTATGATGGCAGAGGTTCATCTCGAAGCCAAGGTTCTCTAGAAGGAATGCTATGGGCGGGCCATTCCCAGATGGGAGCACACACCCTGAGTGGCCCTGTGACATCAGGCTGGGAAAAGTTCCACCGAAAACTGGGAGCTGGGTTTGGCAGTCTGTGGTCCTGACAGAGGCAGCAGCCTCCAAGTTGTGCAGGTCCACCCCCAGCTTCTGGCAGGGTAAGGGATTTGCCACCCTACAGAAACATTCTTAAGAAGTTAGATCAGAGAGCAGGATCCAAGGGATCCCTCTGAGCTATGCGCAAGAGACTCTGATGGTTCAAATGGCCGAGAGGCACATCTTGGAAGGGAATTGAAGCAGGCAATGCAAATACATTGCTAGCGCTGGTGCTTCTGTGGGCTGGGCTTCGTTGGGCAAATGGGCTTCAGAGATGGCCTGAGGGAAAGACGGTCCCCCCGGGCCCCAGGGCAGTTCTAAGACTTGCCTCTGGTTGGGAAAGAGAAAGGGAGGCGACTGGAGGGTACAAACAGGTGGAGGAAAGTTCTTCGCTGAAGGTGGAAGGCAGTCTGTCTTATCAGGCTAAAGACCGCTCAAAGGTGTGGAAAGGCAGCTTTTTAAAAAGGCTTCGGACAGAAAGCGACTCGTGCGGGGGAGGCCCAACATGTAGGGCGAGTTTGGCTTTTGAAAAATCCTCAGACCTAGGGCAAAAGCCAAAATGGGACTGAACCTTAATCATGGGAGAAATGGATAGGACAGGTAGCGAGGGAGCTTTAGGTCTTCCTGTCTGCCCTGTGCTTCTCTGACTCATCGGCCATGCCCCATGCCCGCCTGCTGCCCCGAGCTCTCATCCAGCGTGCCACGGGGATTGGAGGCCAAGGTCTGGGTTTACATGGAGCTTCTGCACCTACTCGACTTGAGCCCTGGCTCTGGTCCACAGTTCCTTGCCCATGAATGGGGGTACGGCCCCATCCGCTCCATCCCATGAAGATCAAACGAGACAACACATAGAACATACTGCAAAAGTGCTCCATTTGCCATACACAATATCCTTTAATCATCAGATTTCCATAAAAGAATTTGTTTTGTTAATTATGGGCCCGCGGTATCTGCTTTTGGTTATGAAGCCATACCCTAAGTGGAAACTTATCCAAATTGGAGGCAAAATGTACCCCAGAGTAGATGTCGACTGCAGTTATGGCACAGGCCCTGGAAATGTAGACAACAAACTGCTGAGGACAATCTGCCTCCCTTCTAAGGGAGTGGCCACTTCAAGGCAAAACCCACAGCCAGCTCTGGGTGGGGTGCCAGCCATAGCAGGTTGCCAGTTCCCTAAGGCCAGAGTTAGAAATAAAGATGTGACCTTCAGGACATGATGCTAGGTTGCAACAAGCCAGTCACAAGACAAACGCTATATGACTCCACTTACATGTGCTATCGGGAGCCATCAAAAATCGGGTAGAATGGTGGGGGCTGCGTGAAGGGGAATTGTTCAGTGGGTCACAGGTCTCATTTTATAAGATGCTAAAGTTCTGGGGGTCTGCCACGCAGCAGTGTGCATGGACTTGATGCTGCTGAACTATACACTTAGAAATGGGTTAAGACGATAATGTTACACTGTTTTTCATTGCAATTTTGAAACATGGTGGTGACTTTGCAGTAGCAAGGTCCCTTGGGCAGAAGGCTGTGAGAAGGGGGAACATTAACTCCCAAACACTCCTAGTGACTGGCAGCCCATCGGGGATCAAACGGGAGCCACCCCAGCCCAGCAGAGGTCACGCCGGGGCAAGGTTGCACAGTGACTTTCCCTTGGGCCCTCCCAGCAGACCCCAGGGAGCGGCTCTCCTGGAGGGCCAACCTCCTCTCTCGAGGTGAATTGAGGCCTGAAGTATGACACCTGGAGCGCCCTCCTACCCTGGGCCTGTAAATCAGAATGGAGCTCATTCCACCGAGGCTGGGGGTGGGGGGAGCAGAGGCCCTGCAGATGTTTGAAGCATCTGAGTGCTGTTTGAAGGGATTTGAGTTTCACACGGGAGACAGATTGGCTAAGTCCTAACTTCCTTTACACTCTAGAACCCAAGGCTACTAGGAGCAGCAATCGATAGGAGAAATGGGAGGAGGGCAGCAGGAGCATTTTTTTAAAAGAAAAATGTTACTTTCATCTATTTTAAAGTCACAAATTACCTAGCTCCTCCAAAATATCCATCCTCGAGCTTCCGAATTGTTGAAAGAACCGCAGAGTGAATGTCCGAGCCGTCATTTGCTAAGGAGAATGAAAGTGACAAAGTAGTTTACTGAACGGAAAAGAGGCGATTTCATCAATACAATCTAAGATATTTAGGGAATAGAAGAGTCCCAAGCTAAGAAACCAAATCACTAAGAGCCCCTTTCAGTATTTGGCTCTGTCCACGGGAGCCTCCTACAACTTGGGAAGAGGGCACTAACGGCCACGGGGTGGGATTGGAGGAGTTACTGAGCATGGTGTGAGTGATGGGGAAGGTGAGCGTGGGCCTGCCAGTCATCCGCCAGCACGTGCACAGGTAAGCCAGCTCGATCCTCAGCATCTCCACGATCATCTCATTGTCCAGGGCCAGGTAGAAGTGATGCTGGTCGGTGAACTGGAAGTCGGAAGAGACCACGTTAACGATGGCCCTTCACTGAGCTCAAACACGCATGCATGCACACACCCCACTGTCATTCAGGGCAGAGCGACTCGGACTTCTGTCTCCTGCGAAGGTGCTCTGAGCTGGGCTGTTCCCCTTCAGATGAGGCCAATTGATCTGTGGCCCAGGAGCCACTGTGACCTTGATCTATTCTCAGCTCCTCGCCACTGCTGTCCCTGAAAGCACATCGAGCAAAGGAGTCGCTGCTTCATTCCTATCCTTCCCTGGTGACTGGGTCTGGAGCTGCTGCCCAAGGGAAGGCACTGGGAGCGGGCGCCCTGCCTGATGGCCTGGCTAATGGCTCCTAAAGGCACTGTTGTCTGTTGATGAAAATCCCATTGTTCTCTTGGCCTCTGGGCTAGTGCACACTCAGCTCTGCACTGAAGTTTGTTCTGAAGGCAAATAACTCGCACGCTTTGAGTGAGTAGTATGGACCAGGCTAAAAGAAGCTTGGGGCTACTGACCCCAGACTCCACAGCAGATGGATGAAAACCACTTAGCATGTGCTTCCACGGGGCTAGCTTGCTTCGGAAACGAACTCTGAAGACGAGCTCCAGGACGTTCAGTATCGTGCTAAGGAGCTGCACGCCTGCCAATCGGACTGGCTGTGTTCTACACAGAGGAGCCAGTGACGGCCGCCACAGGGGTTAGGGACTGCTGTGACGGGGGGCATGAGAGCTGCGAGTCGAGTGACGGGTCCCTAGCAGATCTGTAAAGCCGTGAATTTTGCTAATATCCGTGACTGGAAGTGATGGCACAACTCGCTTCAATCAGATCAGCATCTCTCGAGCCACCTACTAAGGAGCAAAGAATTGTACTGGGTGTCCTTTCCACTTCTCTGAGCTAGGCATGCACAACTCTGCCATATTCAAAGCACAGATGCTTACCAGACAGGAAAGAGAACCTAATAAAGGATGCTTGTTGGTTTGCTATTGGCTTCTTGTTCTTACCTGGGGTGTGAAAGTAAAGATTTGGTTCCTAATCACATATAGTTTGGAGGTTCCAAGGACGCCAATGTGCCGATATGGTCGCCCACTCAATTTCATGTTCTTATTCCGTCCTATTAGAACAATTGAGAGAAAATGGGGTTAAAGAAAATACACTGACCAACTAATCCTGGTGACTTTGACTAAGGCTAGGCTTAATTTTAAGTCTGACAAACCACTGTAGGTTTTGGTTCTTCCCATACCATCATCCCTCTTTAAAATGAGAGGAGGCTGGATGTAAGAACAAATCCCGGCCCTGTTCTGCTCATGCAAGCCTGTGAATAGCACCTGGTTTGATCTGTATTGGCGTAAGTCTACTAGAAGGACTTTATTAATGCTTACTCCTAACTGACTTGATTTTGAGCCATAATGGTAAAGTCATTCTAGAAAAAAACCCTCCACCCATCTTTATGGGTGTGTGATCCCGTCCTGCAGATCAACATCAGAAGCATCGCCAGGATACAAATGACCATTCCAATTGGGAATGTTCAAGTGCAGCTCCTTGCTTCCATGGGAGCTGGCAAGTGGTCCGGCCAGCCTGTGGCACGATCTACTGACGAGGCGCGAGGAGAGCGTGCTGCTTTGCCCATCCCCCTTCAGTAGAACCCAGGCTGCAGTGCTGTGCCTGATTCTTTGGCACTCACATGCATCACCGTCCCCCTCAAATCCCGAAGCTAGACCAGAGATGCCTCGGCCGCAAATGCCCTGATGTTCCCCCCAACCTACCGAGTTTGGCGTATATGTGACTAAGGATCCGGCCTGGCTGGACTCGGATTGGATAGATGTCAGCAATGCTCTGGACGTCTACGCCGTGTTTCCTCAACAATTCCTTAATGTGACTGTTCTCTGCCAGAACGGTGACTGTGAATGAACAACATGCAGTCCGCATGAGTTCCTGCCTCTTGTGTCCCTGTGTTGCCATGAGTGGTTTGTTGCCTTCTCGTTTGTCTTACGACACACAGATTAGCATGCTCTCCTCGTCCTGTCGGTTTGGGAAGTGACAGCATGTGTCCTGCTGCTCTTCGGGCTCCCTCTGTCCTTGCCACCTCCTAACATCGATGATGCTTATTAAATACCCTTAATGAGTAAGACAGTCTGATAGACCCTAGAAACAAAGGGTCTTCCATAGGTCCCAAGCCAAATGACGTCATCTCCAATAATGTCTTGGCCTTCCTCTGGGTCTATATTTTATTCTAAACCTGTCTCGTGCCTTTTCACATAGGGTCAGGCATGGAAAGTGCTCTGCTGCAGAGGTGAGAAGAGGCCTGTGGCCTTGCTCCCAAAGGCCAGGGAAAACGAGCAGCGTGGGGGAGTCTGCTCCGATGGGGGTAAGGGGTATCACTCCACAGAGAAAGCGGAGTGGACCTGGTAGTGGGGCAGCCTGGCCCACCTGGAATCGGCACAGGGCCCCAGTGGTGGGGAAGAGTCCCCGGAGCTGGCCCAGGCCCCATCTGTGCTCCATCTCTGGGCAAGGCTGGGCACAAAACTGGCCGGCAGGCAGGGGGTTTTGAGTGCCTGGAAGCTGGGGGTGTGTTGGAGTGTCAGACCCTCACTTGAGGTCACATCGGGGGTCGGCGAGGCTGCACAGTTATTGACGGCCTTTATGAGGAGGGGGTAGTGTGGTGGCAAAAGGCAAGAGTCCTAGGCAGGGGATGGGGAAGGGCAGATACATGTCAGGGACACATCCAGCTGCAGCAGAACACCCTGGGGCTGCACGTGCATTGGCTGCTGCTCGGGTGCACGGCTGCTATGAAGGTAGCTCGTGATTCCTCCCGTTGTCCCCGCAGGCAGACTACATACAAACACCGTTGAAAAGTGAATGTCATCTGCTTAGTTACATAGCACTTGATGCTTTTAGAAGTATTCTAGTATCTATCATCTCATCCAGGCTTTACAACAAGCCCTGGACCAAGCTTGCATGCTTAACTGGCCAGTTAGAGCTGAAGCAGGAAGGACAGCTAATCCCCCAGGTCCCAAGCAGAAGGAACAGCAGCCACCTGGACCTGGAAGGATAGCTTCCCTTACTGCCTGTCTCTTCTGGAGCCTGCAATGGCACGTGCTCCACACTGACCAAAGCCACATGGTGATCGGCCCCTGCAGGAGTTTTTCTCACAGCAGTGCTTTTGACCTGGACCGGGAGGCCTCGTGATCCAACACAGCTGTATATGGGTAAGCTGTGGAGACTACACTCCCCCTGCTCCATGCCAGACCCTCGGATCCTTTCTACTCTGCTCTATCCCAGCGTGTTAAAACACGTGCTCGGCACCCATCAACGTGGCCCAGTCTGGCAGATCTGGGAGACTGATAACCCGAGCACATCATGCTGGTTAAACTGTAGGGGCCGTGGAGTCCAGCTCGAGCCACCCACCTGGAAGGCAGAATTGCATTTGCAGGTCTAGTGGTCAAGCGGTGAGACCTCGAGGGTGTGAGATGCACACGATAATCATCGCTGTCGCAACTTGTACCGAATCGGAATGCTGGGACAGTTGGCTGGGTCTCACACTGGGACTAACATTTGCTATCGCCTGGGCAATTAGCTTGCTCATAGTACTGTGAGCGCACACAGAGATGTGTGCCAGTGGCCAGGGAGAGGAATGCTTTTCATTTTGTCTCATCCTTGTTTTCAACACATGTGTGTTTTCCAAGCAACACAGGAGCTAGAATAGGATGGGCCATGCCCCATACAGTCTAAGCTAGGGACAGTAAGGTGTGTACACAACATGCTAGAGGGCACACAGTGCTCTGTGAGGCGGGAAAAGTGAGTGAGCCACATGGAGGTCCTGCGTTAGGAAGGTGTGAAGAGGACCTGTGGCTCCCAGGCTCATCCCATGGCCCAGCCAGGCAGCTTTCTCCTCCCAGCCGTTGGGAGAAGAGCTGGCTACAGAGGAGGGAAGCCAGGTGGAGACAGCTGGAAAGAATCGGAAGCCCAGGAGGGGAATGAATGACCTTCACTTGGGTTCTGAGGTTTCCCCTGGGCTCATGCTCTGTACTTCAAAGAATAACAGTTCTGAAAAATGATGCTCGATGAGTCACTCGTGCCCCAGTTGCCATCAAGGTTTCCATTCAAGAAAACAACGGCTTTGCTGAAAGTGACTTTGTGGTTGGAAAGAATCCTATTGCCTTTTGGGGGGCTATGGTGTTGTAAAGGCTTCTCACAGAGCTGCCATATGCAAAGGTATATGCATATGCCAGAATGATGGGAACTACAAATAAAATGGGTTTTACAGAGTTAGATGGAAATAGCAAACACTCACAAACCTTGCACGACAACGTCGGGTTTGACGGAAGTGGAAAATCTTCTATTTAAGGGATCAATCTCGCCAGTGGCAAGGAATCCCTGTGGAAAGAGAAGCAGTACGACTATGAAATATTGATTAAAATTTCCCCCTAAAAGTTTGATCTCCAAAATAGTTCCCTTCTCAAAATACTCAGGACTTTTTTTTTTCTCTACAGTCTTTGAGTCGATGGCTTATTTTCTCAAAGACAAAAAGTACCATTGGAAATGGCCACTCAACGTGTCGTACTCTGGGCACCCAGCTGTGCAGGGCTAGTAGACCCACCACCAGCCTGTGTGGTAGCTAACACTTCCTGAGCCCGCTGAGCCCCTGCACGGGCACTGCATTCAGGCTCGCTGACAGCCGGGTACTATCGTCTCCACCGTTTTACAGGTGAGGAGACAGAGGGAGCACTTCCAAGAAATAGAGAAGGCTGGCCCAGGACTATTCTAAAACACAAGCCCCCACACCCACCTCCATCCACCTTGTGAAGTGTGCTATTTGAATAGGCATCTCCTTAACACTGCCAGCAAGCTATGGGAGCCCACGAGAGGGGAGCTCTGAGGAGGACCTGGCCCTAACGCTGGGCCCAGAGGCAGAGCAGGCCCCTACCTCTGCCAGCAGCGAGCTGAGGATGTACAAGGACTGACCCCACAGGTGGGGAAGCTTGCCCAGAGGAACTCTGTCCACGGTATGAGGATTCTTGTACTCTTCATCCACCTGGCAGAGAGAGAAGCCTGGTGAGAACATTGGAGGCCAGAGGCCCCCTCCCCTGGGGCATGCGCTGACGAGTCACAAGATGGGCCTATCCTCCAGTCCACTTCTGTGCCAGCACCGGACCTGGGGACAGGGCGCCAAAGGGGGCCTCCCTGGGGCCTCTAAGGCCAGAAGCAGCTTTCGGGGAACTCGATCTCGGCCTGGCTGTGGGCCACTGCTCTTCCTCCAGGTGTGTACCAGGCGACAGCACCGAAAGCCCGGCTGGCCGCCTCGGTGCGCAGCTCTGGGCAGTGAGTCGCCTCCAAGCTCGTGCTGGCACACAGCTGTCCTATGGGGACAGTGATCTAGAACGCTGGCTGGGGCAGCCCGGTACTGGACACCAAATTTCTTCTATGTTGCCATCCCCGGGGGTTTATAAAGCGTGTGCCTATGCAAGACAACTACCAGAAGGTGGCACTATGTAGCGAAGAAAAACTGTGCTGCTACAGCATGAACTTTCATCAAGGCCTGGAAAAGCAGAAACCTCATCAGATAAGCTCAGTACTCCTTTTTTGAGAGACAAAGAGGCTCCCATCTGCTGGTTTGCTCCCCAAATGCTCACGATGGTGGATGCTCGGCAGAGCCTGAAACAGAGCTGGGAATGAAATCCAGGTTTCCCATGTGGGCGGCAGGAACATTATTACCCGAACGTTCACCACTGCCTCCCGGGGCCTGCAGGGAGCTGGAGTTGGGAGCCAGAGCCGGGTGTCAAACCTGGGTACTCTGGCGTGGATGTGGGTATGTTAACTGCTGGCTGCGTGTCCATTTCTCAGTGCCCTTCTTGAGGGACAGGGCTGGCTACGTCCTAAGGCGGGCTGTAACTGTCTCCTCTTAAACTCCGGGCTGGCCTGTGAGTTTGCAGTCACTACAACATTGATTGGGGGTAACATCACTGACCACGTGTTTACTAAAGAAAGCATAGGTCAATCAAGGGAAAAAGGAAGCAGCCTTCCCCCAAGGGGCAATCCAGACCACTGGGACAGACATTCTGCTGTGGGCTTTCTAGTGAGCACTCCTATGTAGTGAAACCTAAATCTTCAGCAGTAGCAAACGCTGACAGAAGCTTCAGTGCATAAGCGGAAGGGACTCAAACTTGGCCCAAGCTAACAGGGTAGGGGAGATTCTCCATAGCGGCACAGTGGCTATGTTTGGGCACTAGGATTGGAGAAGCGGTTTTTTCTTTATGCAGAACCCTGAAGTTTTACAGTGTGCGAGATGACTTTCCTAGTTAGTATGTTAACACTTTGAAAGCTAAAGTAGCGTTAAAGGCCACAAAGATCTAGAATGAGAAATAGTTCATGCGAAGAACAGAAATTGGATAAAGTGTGCGGGTCAAAAGACAACCTTGCTCTGCCTCACCCCAACCATGGCCAGCCCCTGCCTCTGGGCGGAGGCCTCCCTCCCCCTCCCCCTCTTCCACTCTGTTCCCTCTGAACTGCTTGCAGGGCCTCAGGGGCACCAAGCCCTTGGGCTGCACCCCTGACTGCCCTCTAGTTCACAGCCTAGTTCCCTGAACCTCTACAAGCTTGCCGAGACACAGCTGGTGTGGTAGCTACCTTTGGGGGCCAGCCCCTAGCCTGGCGCAAAGCAGCCGCCCGGTGCACGCCTGCTGGGCTCACTCCGGTCTCCTGTCCAACAGAGGGTCCTGTGTACAGTGGTGCCCCATACAAGTGGATCCGCTGGAGTAAATGAGGGAAGCTGAAACACGAGCCATGTGCCACCCTGGCCAAGGGCTGTGGCCGCTCCAAGTGCAAGGCCCTCCTTCCAATTCGCACAAAAGTGCCACAAGGACCTGTGGTGGCCCTGTCTGCAGGAACCCTTCCCAGTGGTCCCTACATGCTAATGATGTGGTTGGGGAACCTTCCCAGCTGTCGCCTGCATACGGCTAAACACCAAACGCTGTCAATGTAAAACAGTGTCCCACACTGGTGCCTAGCACACAAGTGTAAGCACACTGAGTAGAGGCAGATGTTGTAATTACAAATGGAATCCTAGAGGTCGGTGTGGCGTTTAGAACAGAAAGCTGCAGAGTAACTTCAGTGTACTGCGAGCACTGCTCATCAGAACAGCACAGTTTATAACACCAGCATTTACTACAGTCCATAGAATGTGCCCCTCCAGAGCTCGGGGTTGGCGGTTCTCTACTAGAAAATGGGGAGAAGAGCCCTGAAGTCAACCATTTTTCCTTTGCTTGGCTTCCTGGTTCCCAACTGCCTCCATTACTAATTTTGTCAAGGGGTCTCACTACTGCAAGAGGAGCAACCTGATGAGAGATGGGCTGGGTTACTTCCCAGCAACTACATGCGCCAGGGCCACACATCCACATTGCACATGGTAATGAGTGTGCCCTGGCAGGAGGACTAGGCTTCGGACACTTGGGAAAAAGCCTTGGCAGGCTGCACACCATGATCTATATGGGGAAGGAAGGCCAGTTCCTGCTCAAGATCTCCCCTCTGGAACAAAACCAGTCCTCAGAGAGCTCGGATGTGTGAGCTGTCCATGCTAAGATGAGGGGCCACCAAGATTTGCGAGCTCAGGGCCAAGGGTCCAGGCTGGTGGGCTTTAGTGAGAAACCCTGCCTGCTCCCCCCCACCCCAGAGAAGGATATAACCACCTCAAGGGCCTACCTGGTGAAGCTCAGAGTGAACTAGCTGGCCAGATGGGCTATTATCGATGCAAAATAATTAAGTGCTCCTAGCAATGGACTACTTGTCCACAGAAACTCAATCCCTTCTGGAATTTCTCATTGGATTAATGGTTTCAGTGTTCTATAACACAAGATAGTTCCTTCTAGGTTAAATAAGGCCCAAAACGATCCACAGTGGCACCTTTTTCGCCATAAGAATTGAGCACTGGGCTGCATTGATATTTGCTTGCTATGCAAAAATAAGTCTGCTATACCACTGCTTGGGAAGGCGAGCAAGAGCATCTGTGCAGGTATTTGTGTTAGCTGGAAGCGGACTGGCCACTGGGAGGCAGTGTACATCCATGCGGAGGCCCTGAACCTGGAGTCTGGTCCCGGGAAAGAGCCCAGCACTGTCTGAGCTGAGCTAGGAGCCTGCAGAGGCCCCTGCCAGGGTCCTGACCACACACTTAAACCCCAGTTACTGCATGTCGGGTTTCCCCTGGGCTATTGTCTCCTCCAGGTCCTGTTGACTTGTGGGAAGACATGGTTCACTCTCCCAATTTAGGAAACTGGATACAATGAAACTGAGTATCTTCTTGGACCGGGACAGTTTGTCCCTCATGGACGCACAGTGGCTTCTAGCTGATCACTCACTCTAGCTAGGGAACTGCTTGAGTCCAAGGAAGAGATTCTCGGCTATCCCTATACGTCAGGTTTCTTCCGTGGAAACATGTAAGAACGTGGTGCACGCCAGTGTGTGCGCTCTGGAGTTCCTGTTGCCTGGGGGGGTGAGGGTAGGGGCGTGTCTCCTCTGAAGGCCTTCAACTGCCACCTCCCTAGGATACCCATGATCACAACTTCTGCGTGTTTCCCTAAAGCCTTGACTCCTGGTGATAAAGACCACCAAGAGCTTTAGACACCACTTCTAGAGAAAGTGCTTGTTAGGTCTAGAAGGGAGATGAAGAATCCCAAAGGCCAAGCAGCGACTCGCTTAGCTCTGGAAGAGTGGCACAGAGCCTGCGCCACCGGGTTACCTTGTTTGGTGGGATGGCGTAGAGTTCTGGCACCAGGCGGATCCCATCTTTGCCTCTGATTAATATTCCTTCTAGGGCTTCTTGGTACTCCTGGACCTGGAAAACAGCCCCTTTGCTTACCTCACCAAAGAGGTATGGTGGTCAATGCTGTGATGGCAATGTGGCATAGACACACAGCCATGTTGGCAACAAACAGATTAGGAGTGGGACACAGGGCAAAGAAGAGCACAGACAGCATCATTTCAAGGAGTGCAGGAGGGACTCTCGCAGACAGCAAATATTGGAGCTAAACGCCACTGCTCGTTACTCCCTTGACTGTAAGTTCTGCCCCAAGTCAAGCTGTCGGAAGGAGTCGGAGCAGCCCATCATGCAGAAGCTATTTCTTCCCTCAGAATCCCCACAGTGCTCACATCTACGCTATGTGCCACACACTGTTCCCATCCATGCTGTCTTCAGCCAATTAAGTATTTCACTTCTTAAATTCCTATTTATTTGAAAGGTAGACAGTAAGATCTTCCATCCATTGATTTGCCCCCTAAATGCCCACGACGGCTGAAGCTGGGCCAAGCCAAAGCCAGGAGCTGGGCACTCAACCTGAGTCTCCCATGGGTAGCAGGGACTCAACCACTTGAATCCTCGCCTGCTGCTCGGGATGTTCATCAGCAGGAGCCTAGAATCGGAAGCGGAGCTGGGGCTCCATCCCAGGCGCCCTGGACTATGGAATGCCGCTGTCTTAACCACTGCATCAAATATCCACCCCCAAACGCTGCACTCCTAACATCTTGCACGTAGAACTCGATTGCACGTAGGGCTGCTCTGTCTGAAGTAGCTTGTTCTTTGCTACTTTAATAAAACTCTTGCCTTTACTGTGCTGGCTTGCAGTTGACTTCTACTTCTTGCCCTGGATCCTCCTAATGCCATGAGGATCGCACATGGGCCTGGCTGTAAAGGTATCACTACCAGATTAGAATCATCTTTGGGGTGAAAGCTGTCTCTTGAGCGGCTCTTAAACATTTCCACCCATCGGTGGCTTTCTACTTAAGGCACTCAAACATTTATTGCAGCAGCAATCTTAGCTGAACAAATCCGATGGAAGAAAAAGGAAATGCATGTATTACCCATGTGCACTGACTCTTGGGATGTACTACTCGGTGTAATAAAAGCTGTTAAAGCTGACACCGCCACTAAATGAAAAAGCACCGATAAAAACCTATCTACTTAAAGGGAAAAGGGGGGGGGACATTCTTGCCAAGCCACCTGGCTACTGAACACATTGCCTTTGAGAGGATCGGTCCAGTCAAATGCTGTCCAGATCTCTAAACATGTTCACGTGTATCCTTTTTTCTTCCCCCAGTGGATAACTGGAAGAGACAGCATAAGACCTAGAGCAGTACGTTCTGTGAGGCTTACTAAGCATACTCATTTTCCTCCCTTAGCTTTTTATTATCCTTTATAATTGTCTGTTCACAATTGAAATTCAAAGTGAAGCCTTTCAAGATCTTTCAATTCTGGGATTAAAGACAGAAGACAAAAGACCCAAGACCATCAGGTAAGCTTAAGAGCAAGAATCGACAGAGAACATCAACATCTCGGTTTAAGGCCTCCGCATTCCAGAGCAGGACAGATTTTAAAAGCACAAAGGAATCTCGGCTCCCGTTGCCCCCCCCCCCCCCCCCCCGAACGGGGTCATCCCAAAAGGGTGAAAAAAGACAAGGCTGCGTCATGGCCCCCAACTTTTCAAGCACAGGGCTTTGCTGGTCCCCAGAGGAAAAAAAATCCTCCAACCCTTTCTGAAAAATGTAGATTATGAAAAAGCGATGCGTGCGTTTCACAATGGTTTCAGTACCCAAACAAACATTTGATTCCACTTTTCCGAAAACTTTTAAATTCCCTTTTTTGCTCCCGGCCCCCACCCAAGGGGTGGGATTAAATAAAAATTTAAATGTTTTGAAAAAAAACCGGGTTTACCAATACTTAGCACTAGGCATGGGGAGTAAATCGTGACCTGGATGGGGACCGCCCCCCCCAGGGGCCCCGCACAAAAAAATGGGAAAAGACACCTAATGTGACTTTTGAATTTTGGTTCTACAAGCCATTTAAGGGAAGGAAAAAGGGCACCCTTATTGGGGTTCTAAGGGCCAAAAGCTTTCTTAAAAAAAAGCGCGCCCCGGCCAGGAATTCAAAGAAAAGAGAAGAGGGGCCGGTATGTAGGTAATGAAAAAATATCTCCCGGCTCCCAGAGCGGGGGGGGTGGGGGGGGGGGCCTGCTTGGATCACCAAGCTCCAGAAAGGAAGCAAGCAGTAAGAAATCCGGCTGATGAAGTGAGGAGAGACGCAGATAATATGGGTCCCCACAAAACACATGAAGGAGGTGTGTGTACAAAAGCAATCTAAAAGCCACTCAAAGCTTTTCAGCAAGGCACTAACATAATCTAACTTGCCTTTTTAAATAAGGTCACTCTGGCACAGGCATATGAAGAATGGAAACAGCAGGAGCGAGGCTGAAGAGGGGAGACCAGTCACATTCGACAGGATGCTACGTGACCGCACAGCCACTGGCTGACCAAGTAAGAGCAATAGCAACAACGGGGACAGACTTGAACCATGTCTCCTAGTTACCCTTGCCCTTGTCTAGCCCCCTTCACCTTTTGACTATGGGATGACCCCTTAACCAACAGAATGCCAGGACTCTGCTAGTTCCAGGCCCAAGCCTTAAGCTCTGATAGTTTCTGCTGTTGCTTTCTGGGAAAAGGCAACCACCCCCTAAAAAGTCTTAACAGCCCAGAGACTACAGTGCTTTGGAGAAGCCAAAGCTGGCCAGATAGCTATGCAGAGGAGAACCAAGTGCACCTGCTGACAGCCAGCATCAACTCGCCAGCAAGGTGAGCAAGGCCATCTCAGAAGCATATCTTCTAGCTCCCTGTGGAACCCCAGCTGGCCAACAGCAATTTGTTCCTGCTGGGCCCTGAAGTAAGCAAAATGCCTGGCACTTTAATTTACTAAGCTTTAGAAAAGTTTATGTGGCAACAGATAGCAGATACAGTGGCCTGAATCCTTGCATAACCCTATGATCTAATAATTGGCACACTAGTGGAATGAAAACACTCATCAACACAACATACAGCATGTTCTCACCTGGAGAGCGTCACCGTTGAAGATTCCATCTATTATGAAATAGGTCCAGAACACAGGCCACTCACATTCAATGTTCTCAAAGAGCTTGAGTTCAGCAGGGTCATAATGCAACCGGTTTGGGTCCTGGAATTGGACGTGTAGAACTTTCTAAAGGTGAAGTTGGATGCCATACATTACTGTGTCTCCCTGGCTTTCCCTTGCTTGCCTGATTTGATGCAGCTTTGAGATTGCTATGATTAGGAGTCTACTATAAAAGAGCTGCTGTTTTTGGCAATTTTTCCATGGTAAAACTTCAGAAAGTAAGAAATATATACAAGACTCCTTGGTAGTTTTATACTAAAGTTTCTATATCTCAAATAGCAATTTGCCTGTTACAGTGCTTGGGAGACAATGTTTTATTTCTATCATTCTTAGCCACTCTGGCAAAGAAACCCAAGGAAGAGGCCACGGTAGGTCTTGAAGACATGTATGCACTTCAGACCCGGTGGCCCTTGTCTGCAGCTTGCTTTTCTTCCTGATCTTACTACTTGGCTGCCTAACTCCAGGCTTGCTGACTCCAAATTGAATATTTCCCTTTCCAATATTCCAACCTACAATTATAATCAATAGAAGGAGAATACAATGGCAACTTAGATATGAAGCAGTTAAGGAACCATAAGAAACAATATTTAATACAACCTCTCTTGGGGTTTTATAACCATCTCGAAGGAAACGACAGCATCCATAACGCCCCTAATAAGACAAAAGAAAACACATTGGATGAAAATGTAAGAATGTCTTTGCCCTTTCATTTTAATTCAAGTCAGCTCTGTATCCTCTTTCCCATGAATCTTTTCAGTAAAGAAATGGACACCAAGTGCTCTTTGCTATCAGTATAGCTATTTTTTGAAAGACTTATTTGAAGGGCAGAGTTGGAGTGGTAGGGGGAGACCTTCCATCTGCTGGTTCACTCCCCAAGTGGCTGCAATGGCCAGGGCTGTGCCAGGACAAGGCCAGGAACTTCTTCCAGGTCTTGTAGGGGAGTGGCAGAGGCCCAGTGCTTGGGCCATCTTTTTCCAGGGCATCAGCAGGGAGTTGGCTCAAAAGTGGAGCAGCTGGGACACGAACTGGTGCCCACATGGGATACTGGTGTTGCGGGTGGCAGCACAACCTGCTGTGCCACAATGCCAGCCTAAAGACGTATTTTTAAGTAATGAGCAAAGTAAATTCAGGCTTGATTAGTACTTGAATGGGAATGCCAGGCATTCCACAGGTGTATCGGGGCTACCAGAGTAATTACAGAAAGTTCAGTGAATGACCATACTTCCATTCTGACTTTGTCACCCAAAGCTGCAAAGGGACCCTTGCTGTTTGGAGAAGCCACCAGGTGGACCCTCGATTGGTTGCTCCTGCTTGGAAGACTAGAAAGCTCAAGGGTCAATCCCCAGGCTTCTGGCTGCGAGGCTTCAGGTGCAGGGGCCATTCTACCATCAGATGGGGGCCTGCAAGGCTTGGCACAGAGCAAGGCAAGGAGGGGGGGCTCCCTGCACTTGGGACCTGTGGTTTCCCTGCTGCAGGCCCTAAGGTTCCTCTCTAGCTTCCTGGGTGCCAAGAAAGGGCAGGTGCAGCACTCTCTCAACCTGATGACCTGATCTCTGGAGAGCAGTGTTGGGTGTCCGTTCTTGATCGCTTCAGTGTGCGGAGGTTGCTCTGCTGGTCTGGCAGGCAGCCATCCCCCTAGCAGCCAGCTCTGCCTTGTTCTAGAAGCCTGCCCTGGGGCCTCAGCATAGAACCTGCTCCCCTAGCAAACGCTTTAGTCCCTGCATTGATTGCACTCCCACCTTTAGTGACCTAGAGGTTCTTTTTGCTCCCTGGAATCCTGACTGCTATAGCTGCCTTCTCTTGGGAATATGATTATAGACCCTTTAACCCTTTTGTTTCCAAGGGACAAAAGAATTTTCCCCTGAATCTAAGAAGGACTCGACACGTAGATCTTCGCTTTGGAAACTTAGGTTCTTTAATTCTAACAGCTTCAGAGTTATGGTATAAAGTCTCATTATGGCATAAAGTTTCATAGCTACTGCACTTCGCCTCAGAACAGGAATTGTTTTTATCTCCATCTAATTTAGGGATCTCCCTTGAAATAGTGTATAAAGTTGGAGACTACTGGGACATGGGCATGGTTTTTTTTCCAGTGTCCCTCTAGCTTTGAAGAGATTCTCAGGAGCCTGCCTTTGACTGCTGAGGGGTTAATTATGCCTGCCTTAGAAGCAGTTTGTAGGGGCCAGCATTATGGGCACTCCATATGGGTGCTGGTTCCACTTCCAATCCAGCTCCCTGCTAATGGCCTGCATTGGGGGTGCGCAGTAGTACAGTGGACAATGGTCAAGTGCTTGGGCCCCTACACCTCTGGGAGACCTGGAGGAAGCTCCTTGCTCCTGGCTTTGGATCGGCCCAGCTCTGGCCATTATAGCCATTTGGGGAGTGAACCAGCAAATAGAGGACCTCTGTGTGTGTGTGTGTCCCTCTAACTTCCTCTCCTATCCTTAAAAAAAAAATAGCTTTGGGTACCATTAATTGGGGTTCAAAGGTGACCGGGTGCAAGCGCTGTTACTTAAGGAGAAAACCAAGTGGTCTAATCCCTGTGAGACTTCATCTTGTCTATGGATTCCACTTTGAACATGTAATTCTAATTCCATGCAGATAAAGCCATTAACCTCGCAGACAGGGCATGGGCGGGCTGCTCCATGTGCAAGTAGTACTGAGTACAGTACAGGCTGAAGGACGCCAGTGTGACCAACACTTACCTGTAGCTTGGAAATAATTTCACTCTTGGTCACATTTACGAGGTTCGCATCTTCCACTGCAAAGGCGGGAAAAGAAATGATGGAAAGAAGTCCCGCATCAATCTCTTTGGATGTTGATGCTCTTGGCAGCATGGAGAACAGAATTGACTGAGTGAAAAGCAAAAAGGTGATTTAGCCTCAAGAAGCACTAGTGGATACAGAATCCATAGACCATTACCTTAGTCCCAAGGGAATATTGGAGTGAGTTTGTCAATTTGGAGTAGAGCTTTGTCCTAACATGGCCCCAGCTGGCCAACCTGGCCTACCTAGCTGGTGCTTCATGCTCCGTGGTGGAGAAGCAGGCGGTTGGGGACAATGTGGTACTGCCTGGAGCCTGTGCTGAGCCCCACTTGCCTCCCTACCTTCCATGGCCGCCGCCTCTTGGTCAAACCTTCAGGACATGCCAGGGAGCATCCCTAAGTACAATGCTACCTGTGGCAGCAAGCTTCATTAACTTGCCATCTCTTCCCATCTCTCCTGCTTTCCACTGTACATTCTACCCATCCCCAACTGCCCCAAATAAACTAGTGCTAATCATTCAATTTGGGGGTATCATGAAACCTGAGAGAACCACCTATGTGCTCAAAACACATGAAACAGATTTTGCCTCTAGCAAAACAAGGTCGCTTTGATTTTTGGACTATAACCCATAAAGAACTATGCAAATGTAAGACACAATGATGAATAAATACATACATTACTCATCTATATATATGTAATATATGCAAAGTGCTCACACAAACTGTCTTAAGTTGATGTACTCTGATCCTTTCTCTTGCCTTCCATTGTGAGACAGGAGAGGGAACTGGTATGCCCATTTTACTGATGAGGAAACGACAGCTCAACAAAGTCCAATACCAGCAAGCTAGACAGTTGGGGAATCTGAACTGGAGCCCAGGCCTCCCACTCCAGGATCCTCTACCTCATCTCTCCGGAATGCAAGAGGCCGCATTGTTACCTGGCAGTGCTCGACCTCGTCGGGCAGAACGTGGATCACTGACTTGCGTCCTCCGTGGGCTCCAAAAAGGTCGAGTTCATCAATGGCCTCAAGTGCTGCCTACAAACATAGGCTTGAGTTATGTCTCCTAATAAACATACCCTCTGACATCTGGCAGTGTTCCTTCATTAAGCAACCTGGCATATATGTGTTCCCAAAGGCGTGATGAAACATGTTTTTAAAAGTACAGCTGAAGAGTCTCATAGTCATGTTACACTGATTTTTCTTTTTTCAGGGGATCTGAGATAACCTGTACAAGTGTGCTTCAAAAAGTTCATGGGAAATGAAATTAAAAGATAAATGTGTGTTGAGGCAAAAAAAGCCACGCAGTTTTTCTCATGTACTGTCATGAATTTTTTTAAAGACTCCTATGCATTGCCTTTAAGATTTTTTTGGAACCAAAATCTTTCAGTTCCATTTTTCCATGAACTTTTTGAAGTACCTTTTATGTTGCTGCTCATTACAGGAACAAAGAAAACGGGAGAAAACAAAACATGTCCCAAAATCAAATGGGGTATTCTACCAAAACAAAACATTAGCAAATGCATAACCTGGTATGTGTGGCATTAGCCTTATGATCATCCTTCCCCTCACCTATTCTCGTGGTGAATGTCTAACATCAGCACAGCTGGGGCTCCCAAAGTGAATTCTTTCAGTAACAAGTATACTTCCCGTCAATCTACCTTAAGAGACATTTATTAATTGAACTCAGCCTCTGGAGCCTTGACTCTGTCCACCCTCCTTCAGTCTCGAGGAGGGGGAGGAGACACACGCTAAGTGTTGATGGCGAGAGAAGCTGGTGGCCGCAGAGAATTTGCCGCCAATGGGTGCTTTGCTCAGCTTGAAGTGTATTTTTAAATGAGTTGGGAAAGCTCCTGGTGTCTATCTGGCCAGTGTCACTTGCTACTGTGAGCTTGCGTGACCTTTTAGACTTCGGAACTTGTGAGCCTGACCTATGAAGCGGTCATCTTCAGCCCTCTCGAGGAGCCAAAAAGGAAGATGGGATATCATGCATGCAGCTACTTAAACAACAGTAGGAGCTGCTGGGTGATGAGAATGGAGAATAAGGACAAGGTGACTTAGTTTCTGCCACATGCAGATCTCGGGACAGGAAACCTACTTTCTTGACCTATAATCCCAGTTGGCTGGGGTACATGTGCCACTTGAATTTCACATTTGCTACTGCCTCTTGAAAAATGGGCTAGCTATTGGTCTTTCTCCACCTGTCTCTCTGCCTCTCAAATCTTTAAAAAAGAAAAATGGCTAATCTGATTAAATCCAAACTTTCAGTGAAGAAAACCCAAACAAAGCAGTGAACTAAAAACAAACAGGATTGTCACCTTGGCCATTCCTACAGAGCTTGCGTTCAATTCCGGAATGCCCTGATTAGTCTTATCTCCACGCTCCCACATCCCATAATCCTGCAGGAGAAAGAGGCGTATGAGAAACTCTATGGAAAAATAATTTCTTCACCTTACCACGGGCATAAGGAAACACAAGCATCTCTTGAAGGCTCCCAAATTCACAGCTTTATATACTCACATACTGTTCTTAATTTCAGTTCATGTGACCTCTGTGTTGAATTTTAGAACAAAATGCCCAACTGGAACAATAAGGGCATGCAAAAACTCTTAATTCTAAAACGTATCAGTTTGTATGACACTCTGGATTTGTAGAGAACAAAGTATTTATCTTAAAATGATGTCCCTCTATCTACCCAATGCCTTTGAACGTACATTAAACTGTAAGATTTGAATGAAGAAACCTTAACACATGAGTTGTAACAAGTCGAAGCCACCAAAACCATTTAAAAAAAAATTAAGATGTAGCTCGAGCATTGTTCTAGGGAAAATTGGCTCAGCAAGCAACTGGAGCCAAAGTTAAACCTGAGGCTCGGAACACTGAACTTCATGGAAGTTTAAAACCAATGAATATGAATTGACTTTTGAACACTGTCACCCAGAGGATGTGATTTACAAACCCAAGAACTGGACACTGTTCTGAAATAATACTGTGTGCACTACTGACTGCGCACAACCCAGCGAGGACGAGGCCAGTGCCAGAATGTCAGTTTTTCTTTATCTCCAAAGAAAATTTTCAAAAGTGTGAACATTGCATCTTCGATTCTTCTCTGCTGGGCACGCCTTGTAGCTGAGCCCAGCCACTCCTTCCTGTGGCCGTCCTCACAGCTGGGCTGGCCTTCCCTCCAACCCACCTTCGCTGCAACCTGGAGCCAAGTGACTTGTCCTCAAACTCTTTGATCAGTTCACTTCCTGGCTTCAGAGATGAAAATGACAGTTTCTCCCCTAGTGGATCACATTCCCATCTCTGGACAGCCATCCCCTCCATGATCTGGCCTGCACCCCTGCACTCCCTTGAGTTGACTGGATCTTCCATTTCCAATGTCAACTTTCACCCGAAGTCCGCCCCTTTACTCTGCACCCTTTTGCCCAGGCATCCCCCTAACCCTGTGACTGCTCCCTCCCTGCTACTTATCTGCACCTGACTCCTTCAAGGTCCAGCTAAAGGCCCACTGTCCCCACAGAGGCTTCTCGAGTTTCTTTAAGCCCGGGTTTTTCAGCCTTGGCCTGACCGCGATCTTGAGTGAGGTGGGGACAGTGCTATGCCCTGGAGGATGCAGCCCCCACCACAAACACCTCCCCAGGCTGCCATGTGCCCTCTGGGAGGAACAATCTGAGAATTGCTGCTTTAGACCTGACACTAGGAAACCACAGCTCTTGGCCCAAACCTGGCTGACCGCTGATTTTTGTCAAGTCCATCTGGGATATGGCCTCACTCGTGTGTTTACCTGCCATCTCCGGTGGCTTGCTGACTACAGGGGGCAGTGTAGAGGAGGTGGAAGACAGACAGTAGGGCTGCAGTTTCCTTGTTGTCTAGAGGGACGCTGGGCTCTGCCCTCCAGGCAGAAGCCTGGAAGGAGCGGGGGTTACACTTACACCCACACACATGGGGCCCAGGTCGGGATTTGCCTGGCTCAGGCCCCGCTACTTGTGGGCCAGCTGGAGCCCATGGTACCCCAGCTCCCACCAAACTGCTCAAGCTGCCACCTCTTGATCCCTGACTCAGGCTGGCCTGTGTGTATCTCAAAGGACATGTGGGTTCTTATTCAAAACAAGCATACTGGATTCCCACACTGCTTTTGTGGCAGTCCAAAACGCAAACTTGCAACTGTACACCAGAAGAAAACTGCATACTTCGCGTGGAAAGTTGATACCATTGTCAAGCTCCAGGCTCACTAACCTTCAGGTCAGCCCCCAAACAGCCTGGCTCTCAGAACTGTATGATTTGTATGGCTTTGGGATATACCTGAAAAGACTGTCAGGGTTGATACTTACAGCAACTTTATACGCAGCTTCTATGTAAAAAACGAGATTCTGTATAAAGGCCACCTCGTCGAGGGTGAAAATAATACGCAAGCCTAGGAAAGACGAACAATGAGGTTACGAAGCTATGCTGTAAAGGGGGACCCCACCAGTTCGATGGTATCACATTAGGAGCTAGATCCTTTTACCCTCACTTTCATTTTCTTTACAGGGCATCAAAAATTAAGTCTAAGTCCTAACAATGTCTAACCTTGGAAAGAGAAAAGAATGGATGGGTAGATGGGAGGTAGCGGGGCAGGCAGGCTCCACTTTCACACATGTGCCTACAGGTTTAAAGCATTCAGATAAGGTGTTGGGGCTCAGTTCATGTTGGATTTGTACAACGAAAATGCCAATAAATGGGATTTTAGCCCAGAAGAACCCAAGATACTGTCCTTATGCTTGAGTGAGTGAAAGGGAAGGGCGAGCCCGCCTTCTCAGTGACAGAGAGAGGGAAAGTAGGCTCCCCGGCATCAGGAACTGGCCGTCCCACCCAGAAAGCCCGGCTCCTAGGATCTGCCCACTGTTTGCTCGGGCCCTCAAAAATCCAACTGGTTATGGCAAACATGCGATGAACAGATAAGCTTCCCTCACGATGTCAGAATGCCTAACTAGTAAGCTAGACTAGAAGTAAGATGAACTTCTAACTACAGCCTTTGAATGACAACTTTCACAAGGAGGTAAGTAGAGACGAGGTCAAATGATGTTGCAACATTAGCCATCACAGAGGGAAAGCAGGCATAGTCCAATCATGAAATACCCATTGATAGTCATTAGGGCAATGCTTATCAGGAACTTAAAGATCATGGGAGAAATAAGTTATCCTGCTACATAACTGAAGGGCTGTTTATATATTATGACCTTAAATATGTCTTTAAAATTGCAGAGAAAAGACTTGGAAGAAACAATTGGCAGTGGATTTTTTTCTGCATTTTTTTCCCCAAATAGCTACAACTGAGCTCATACTTAACTCATAACCAAAAATATCTTTCTAACGTAAGTGTGTGGTTTATTCACAAAGCTGTAACGATCATGCTTCCTGATTTCCGGGATGTTTAGAGTTTCCCACTTGTAGTGTGAACTCAATGGGAAGCTTCAGTCGACTGGGCTGGTGACACACACTCCGAGATGAGCAGCCAAGTGCCTATCCGTAGCAGATGCCATCGTGAGAGACAAAGACACTTGTGCAAAGCTGAGGCTCAGCAGGCCTCGCGCCCAAGCTAACAGAAGCCAACAGTTCCAGCTTCAACAGCAACAATGCATGCTGTGTGCGAGCTGGGGGCTGCCTCGGCACGGGTGCTACAGGTCGGGCGGCCCACTCTGGGCTCACTGCAGAGCCATGGAAAGGACGTGGTTGAAGGGCAACCTGCATACACAAGGTTGTGTCTGGAAGAAGGCGACAAGGGTGGTGAGAGCTGGAGGGACAGGGTGCTGCTCCTGTGAGAAATCTCAGGGCAGGCGTGAGACTGTCTGTAGGTAGGTGAATGCAAAAGTGAGGGCCTGTGCCTGGGCCGCTCCAGAAACTAGGTGCGGGTGACAGGGAGGAAGCTGTGGGCTCCGCAGAAAGAAGCTAACGGACCTGGCTCAGAGTCCTCATCCTCCAAGTACCCAGGTAAGGGCTGACTGTCCTGCCCTGGGTCCCAGGCAGGATCCCTGCAGCCTTGCTCTATCACAGCAATTGCTTATTTAAAACGTCGGAACCGTGGTGATCAGTATCTGTCCAATGCTCAGCTGTTGCCATGCGAGCATAGGAAGAGGTGGGGTCTTTAACCGGTGATCAGGCCATGAGAGTGCGTGTCTTTAACGGGACTGTGGCCTTTGTAAAGGAGACTTTGCAAAGTGGTGAGTTCTCGTGCCCTCCTGCCATGTGAGAGGAGAGCCCTCGCTAGACAGCTGAACCTCTAGGTGCCCTGTTCTTGCACTTCCCAAACTCTAGAACCATGAGAAAACTTCTGCTCTTCATAAATTGTCTCGTGTCTTGATAAAGCAGCACAAGTGGGTCAAGATGCGGATCAACGCTCGGCCCCTCCCCACCCCCTCTCCGGATCGTCACTCCTTATACCATGGCTTCAAACGGCTCTGGCTCACCTGAGGCAGTCATCTGAGCCAGGAACAGGAGAAAGAGGGAGGTGGCATCCACCTGGAGGTGGCCCCATTGGTCATCGCCCACCACGGTGCTGCAGGTGGCAGTGTTGTACTTGGCGTGCAGGCTGTCCTTGGTACTCTGAGTGTACTTGAACTTCTCCACTTTGTCCACCTGAGGGAGAGGGTACGCTGGCTCCACGTAGCTGCAAGGCTTCATGTCTGGTAGGGGTCAGTCAGCGGGATCTAAATCTCTTATCTGCTACGTCTGGGAGCCAGAGGGTTGGAAAACAGCCATGGGGAGCACCAGGGAGGGGCTGTGCTGGGGATTCTTCCTGCCCACCCACTGGAAATGTCCCAGTCCAGGGAGTCTTCAACAAGCTCTGCTGGGGTGTGGGGTCATAGGGTGGCCTTGCCTGCATAGCCCCAACTGTGACATATGGTGGGCTCTTCCAAGAGAGGAAAGGAAGACCTGTTTAAATGTCCATTTCTCATCTCCTAATACGGAAGGGAAAAGAGCGAGTGTCTCTGAGCTGAGGGAGGGGCTGCATCGCAGCCAGCTTTGAACTTGTACAGATCCTACTATCACGCTCTGTATACAGTATGTGATCAGTGTGTTCTTTGCCCCTCAAAGAAGTTAGCTGAAATAGAAATATGGAGCTATAAAAGCTCGAGCATTTCGTCTCGAATGAAAATACATTCTTTTCTACCCTGATAGAATAAACAATAGTACATGGCTTTCAAAACTGCTTGCTTCCTCATTTAAGAGAAGGAATGTTCTTCTTTTACACATATAAACTCTCGGGAAGAAACTCTCTAGACGGAGTCCCCGAGACTGTGACCCTCTATTATAATAAATTATTGGGGGTAACTTAAAAAAGCAAAAATGGCCTCACTTCCTCTAGACACAAAGTTGAGAGCCCCTTAAGCACGTGGTCAGGGTTCAGGTGACAAGCGCCCCCACCCACCCACCCAGTGCTCTGCAGACATGCCCACCTGCCTCATCATGCACTGGAGAAGACCTCGCATCAGCTTCACCACGTTCTGCAGAGAGAGAATGCAGTGAGAGGTGAGACTGTGCAGCCCCGAGCCTCCAGGAGCCTCTTCAGTGTTTGGGTTGTCGACATTTCTGCACTCCGTCACAGGGAAAGAAAAACCTTAACGTGATGCGACTTAGCTCACCTAAAGGGCTTCGGTGAGATGGTATCGCCTGGCGCTGATACTCGGCGACTCTGCTGACACTGGTGCTCTGCAGTGTTGTCGCATTTCTTAGTAATTTATTTTTGTTACACTAAGGGTGAATTCGGTCCCCCACGCCTGCCCAAAAGCAATGTTTTACCAAAACAGCCGTTTGTGGCGGCATAACTGGACTATTGAAGTGAAATCCTTACACAATGCAAGTGGCAGCCAAGGTTTCTTAATAGGATGTTGCAACCAATTACTACTGTCCTCACCATAAACAACAATGGTAACTGTTAACCACACAGCGCACCTAGGTATTGTGGAAAACACAACCTGGATTAGCTCCGGTGAACTCCTGCACCAGCCCGCCGGGCTGGGTGGTCTCATTGCTGCACTGCGTAGATGAGAAACTAAGGTTGAGGGGAGGAGGTGATATGGCTCAAGTCTCCCAGCTGGCATGGGGTGGAGCTGCCAGCCTGAGCTCCTTACTTGGACAGCACATTACTTCCCGTGTCCTGCACGTGCCGGGCCCATTTAAAGGCTACTCTTCCCAGGGCCTGTTAACAGCTCCAGGAAGCTGCTTCACCAGGGGCTGGAGAAGGGGAGGTTCTGCAGCCCCACGTAGCCCGGCTCAAAGCAGTTCCCACGCAGGGGCTTGTCAGTTTCCTCTCGCAGAACCTGCATGGTTTGCAGGGCAGGACAGGAGCGAAGGGCCCCGAAAAAGTTCCTCACCAGCGAAGACTCCGGAATGGGTCATCTTCAGGGCCTTCTGCCTCTCAAACTCTGGGACTACAGACTATCATCCCGCTTTATGTCATAAACTCGACTGGGATGGAAAATGTTACCTCCTCGTTACAGAAAGTTCATAAAAAGTTCATATGCAAATGAACAACCAAGACACAGCAGTGTTCCTGTGGGGGGTCACTGGGAGATGGCCATGTCCCCTCCCATAAGCAGGTGAGGTGTTCGTTTTGGTTATTAAACACACTCATCACACAGTCAAAGGCGTGAGGAAACTATTCCTGTCTCGCCCCTGTCAGAGTAGACATCTAATCAACCTTCATCCAGGCCAGGAAGGGTGTGTGTGTGTACAGGCACTGCTTTACTTTGATTTGTTGCCTCAAAGGGGGATGGGAAATGCGCCCCAATTACTTGATGTTGAATTATTATCCCAGTAAATGAAGCACTTGTGTAAAAGCCATTCAGCTTCTCAGAGAAGTATTTTATGCTTGCTGCATGCAACTTCTAAGACTATCCATGTCGCTCTACCCCCGAGGTTTGGGGGTTTCGTCTCATGCTCGGGCATGCCTCACCAAGTCCAGTCCTTGCTGCCACCCCAATGAGCGGCTTTTCTTAGCTTCCCCGTGGCTGGCAAGGTTTCCCTCCTGCTGCCTCTCCCTCATGCCCACTTTGGTTGCTACAGACAAGCACCTGTGGGTTGGAAGAACTCTTCCTAGACCTGATAACCCCCACTGACTGTGTAGGCCACCAAGGAATGTATAAGCGAAAGACAAATCTGAAAGGCGCTTTCATGCCAAGACAACTATACTTTGATATTTCGAGGCTCCCTACTTCAACACCATCACTTGGAACTCCTGGAAAATGTCTTCTGTGCTCAGAAGATTCTCTTACAAGTTGAAGGCCCACAGATCTTTGCTTTGGTGGGAATCTTGGCTTCTGATGTTGGAAAACAGGAGAAGACTTCATTGTGCTGTATGTAACATAGGCATGCAAACTGCAATACCAATTTGGTTCTAAACTGAAGAATGACTATGAATTAACAAGACTGCTTTCCTGGAATGGCTCAGACTAGACAGATATTTTTAAGGGATGTTTTTAAAATATTCTAAGCAGTGGCAACAGTGTTTGGATAAATGTTCTTTCAATGTCAGTATTCTGAAGAGTACACAATTTGGAACGTGTGGCTGTGGTGTGCTGACATTTTAAAAGCAATCACATTAGCTTATAATGACATCTCATCTATAAATATGTATAAAGTTGGTAAAGCATGGTATGAGAAATGTAGCTTGTTATGCAAAGCAATATTTTGCAGTTAGAAATTTGGATGCTTTTGTTTCCTCTTTGTAGTTTTTGATGTTGTCATTGTTTAATGGAGGAGAAAAATCTCACAATTTGAGGTTGACCATGTAAGCGCCTCCCCAGAATATTCTATAGTAGAAATGGAGGCGAGGCCTGCATCCAATCTGTTGTGCACACACAACTACTTCCTTGTACATTGATCAAGTCGAGGGAAAGTTGCTGAGCAGCCAAGATGGGGCCGCCAGTCATCATTACCTGCTCCAGCTCGTAGGCCTTGGCCTTGTCCTCATCGCGATCGGCATTCTTGCGGTAGGCCATGCCCAGGCCCCACACGGCCAGGATGCTGTAGATGTTGTCTCGCACCCAGGCATCCTTCTGCTCGTGGCTGGCAGAGAGCAGCCCTGTGACAGGGTTCTAGTTGAGAAAAGACATAACATTACTGGGCATCACCCATCATACAGCTCCTAGGTGATGAATGCGCATCCTAAGGTGGCAGACAAGGCCCTGGGATGAGGAGCAAGAGACAAGGGTTTAGTCCTTGCTCTGCCACTGACGGTGTGGTTTTGGGCGAGAAGTCGCATCACTTCCCTGTGCCTTAGTTTCTTCACCTAACAAGGAGATGAAAAAGATATATTTCTCATTTTATTTGAAAGGCAGAGTTACAGGAGAGGGAAAGAGGAGAGAGCTTCCATCTGCTGGTTCACTCCCCAAATGGTCCCAATGACCGGGATTGGGCCAGACTGGAGCCAGGAGCTCCATCCGAGTCCCCCGCATGGGTGCAGGGGCCTAAGAACTTGGGCCATATTTCATGGCTTTCCCAGGCATATTAGCAGGGAGCTGGGTCAGAAATGGAGCATCCAGGACCCCCGCTGCCTCCCACATGGGATGCTGGCGTTGCAGGTGGCCGCCAAGAACCTTCTAACTCTTGTGTGGTCTGGTCTGAAAGTCAAAGAACAACATAATAGAAGAAATAGCAAACGCCTGCAGAGCTTTGACATATCTGTGGGCTTTGGGTTCCTCTTGAGCCTTCATATTTCCCCATCAATGAGTAAAGCACTGAACCTGGAATCAAGAGACCTGGATGCAGGGCCCTACTCTGCTCTCTAGCTGTACAACCAGGGACGCCCCCCCCCCCCCTCCACACACACCCCGGGCCTCACTGGCCTCATCTGCAATCCAGCCACTTCACGGGCCTAGGCAGAAGGGACTGAGCAAGAGGACATCCGGGAGTCCTATTTAGCTCTGATCTCATGGGTATTTAAAAGAGCAGCAGGGTCACTAAAATGCCAGACCTTCACCCAAAACACTGTACACGAAGTTCAAAGCAACATTCCTAAAAACCAAGAAAGAAGAACAAGATAAATATCCACTGACTGATGAGTGGATAAACAAACTGCCCGATCCTAACAATGTTAGTCACTATGTGACTTGGCAGTAAAAACGAAGCACTGATGCAGTCTATGGCACAGATGAACCTGGAAAATATTATGCCAGGTGAAAGAAACCGCTCACAAAAGGCTGTATTTTATATAATTCCATTTGTATGAGATGTCCAGAACAGGCAAATCTATAAGAGCAGAAAGAAGATTCAAGGATGCTAGGACTGAGAATGGAGGTGGAGTGAATGATGGCTAATTTTTTTTCTCCTTTTGGAGGTGATGAAAATGTTCTAGAACTGATTGTGATGCTGCATTCATAATATGAAAATACTAAAAACCACTCAACTGTACACTTTAAGTGAATTGGATGGCAAGTAAATTATACCTCAATAAAGCTAAGTTTTTTAACTTAGAAATTTATTTTTATTTGAAAGGCAGAGTGACAGAAGGAAGGAGAAATCTTCCACTTGATGGTTTATTTCCCAAATATAGCCAACAACCAGAGCTGGGCTAGGCTGCAATCAGGAGCCAAGAATCCTAGCCAGGTCTCCCATGTGGGCGGCAGGAATCCAAGTATTTAGGCCATCATCTGCTGCCTCCCAGGCACATCAGTGGGAAGCTGGATTGGAAGCAAGGAGTAGCTGGGACTGGAATCCTGTACTCCGATATGGGATACAGGCGTCCCAAGCTAGGGCTTACCCTGTTTCAAAACGCCTGTCCCAAAGCTAGTAACATTTTAACAGCTGGTCCTAACAAACTCCATGCCTGGAAATAAAATGGATAAGACAAAGTATGTAAAGCCTCTGGACTCTTCCTGAAGCTATACGAAGAAATACAATGCATAACAATAGGAACCTTCAGCTTAGAAAACTCAGTTGGGTACTTTCTCTTTAGGATTTATGTTCACTTTTTTATTTGAAAGGCAGAAAGAGATCCTTCCATCTGCTGGTTCACTCCCCAGATGCCCGCAGCAGCCAGGGCTAGCCCAGGCACCCATAATCCAATGTGGGTGGCAAGAACCCAAGTACTTGAGTCGCCATCTGCCTCCCAGGGTGCACATTAGCAGGAAGCTGGGTTGGAAGCAAAGTGGGAACTCGAACCCAGGCACCCCAATCTGGGATGCAGGCATCCCAAGTGGCAGCATAACCACTGCAACAAATACCTGTCCCCAGCTGGGTACTTTCAAAGTGGTACTGTGAGGTTATTAACCATAAAACACTGACCCCGTTTCACATGGTCCAACTTAAGGAATTGCCTATTTGACTTTCTCCTAACCTATACACTTGAGAAAAACATTTAAACTCAACTGATATTAACCCCAGGGGCAACAGTGTTCAGTGCATTGACAGTTTTACTGCCAACAACTATGAAGCAATGATATCTAAGCCAACTGGAATCAGTCTAGGAATAGCTGAGGCAAAATACAAGTCATGTTCCCGATAGTGGACTAATGATCTTTTTAAAAAATCACTATGCACTGACAATGTACAAGAGAAGCACCTTGATGTTCTGAGCCCTGGGACTGGAAATCATCAGGAGATCCGGAATCAGGACTTGACCCCTTTCTGCTGTCCCCACCACCTGTGAGCCCATTAAGACAACCTTCTGAGGCCACAGCAGTGACCGCTTATACCAAGCATCTAGTGTGGGTTGCATTATGAAATATCACCATCCTGTTAACTGAAAGTCATTTCTTTAGTTTGTGCTTAACTGTTAGAAGGGCTTAGTTCAATAGCACCCAAGGCTAGACTGTCCCCCTCTTTCAACTACAGAGAAGTACTCTGGGTATTTAGGGGATGCCCATATCCTAAACTCGATGCATACACAAGCCATACAAAATTGGAGTGTTATTGCACTTAGCAAATCAAATACTTCGATTTCTCTCTCCAAGGCCATAAAGAAGAATACATTGTGTTGGATCTGGGTTTGCTGTCCCTTGTAGTAAGGATGAACCAGTGGTTCTGAGTTACTGCCCTACTTGGAGATTAGTGCTGTGTCGCACAGTCTGGCTCGCTGTACCCTGTGAACAATCCAAACAGGCCTATCTCTTCATCTTTAGGGTCCTTGGGTTACATTAGGTATGGGAATGGAAGGGGGAACAGAAGCCTACCATTTCTAGTTTGCAAGCTAAACATGAACATAGGCAAATGCAAGCCACAGGAAGAAGGTGGGTAGACTTGTCCAGGCTGAGCCTATGGATTTAGATATGATATTGTAACCATATGCTGCTTTCTAATCTTTAAAAATGATGGAGTTCTGTCCATGCCCACATATAACATTGTAGAAATGTTTAACCTCTATGATTATCTTTTTCAGCTGTTGTTTTTTTCCCTTGGCTTCTGTCCCCACGCCCCATCAGCAATTCCATAAACAGTCTATATGACAATCTTGTTTTTTCCCTCTATGCTACCAAAATCTGATATACATGATATATAAACTTGGATTTAATATATATGCTTATGTATAAATTCCTGTTCATATACAGACATCTTGGGAGTGGGATTTCTTAATTTTTGAAAGAGTTGCAGAGAGAGGGTAAGAGACAAAGAGTGAGTTCCATCTGCTGGTTCACTCCTCAAATGGCTACAATGGGCAGGGCTGGGCCAGGCTGAAGCCCAAGAACCTGGAACTCCATCCAGGTCTCCCACGTGGGTGGCAGGAGCCCAGGTACTTGGGCTATCTCCCACTGCTTTTCTAGACACATCAGTAGGGAGCTGGATTGGAAGTGGAGCAGCTGGGTCTCAAACCAGCACTCATATGAAATGCGGGCATTGTAGGAGCAGCTTAACCAGCTGTACCACACAATGCCGGCCCCAGAGGTTATTGTTTTTAATGGATGGGATCATCAAGCCATATACCCTGCTGTACCTTGCATTTCTCATTCAGCAGAACCCTATGAGATCCTCCAAATCATCTGGAGGATGACTTAACAGACTCATGAACATGAGTTTTTGAGCCTGCACAATACTCCATGGCAGGTACACATAATAATGCAGCTAATCATGTATTACGGGTATTCACTGCTTGCCAGGTGATTTTTTTTTTCTGGGCATGATTATTTTTGCCACTTAAAACTGCAAAAAATACCCTGGTATGTTCTTTTCAACAGTGCTTTTTTCTATGGAATAGAAACTCATAAATGTGACTGCTGGCTTAAGAGGCTGTATGTATATGCACTTTTAACTTTAGTATTCTCCATCCCTACTAGCAACTTATCAATATTAATTTCTTTTCAGTTTCGGTTGGTGTAAAGTGATTCTTATCACTTTATTTTTAAGATGTTTATTTCTCTGACTACCGATCAATTTAAGCATTTGTTCATTTTGTTTTTTTTTGGGGGGGGTGGTCACTAGATTTGCTCTTTCATGAGTTGGCTTTTAGTTTCTTTTAACCTGGTATTTCAACCATTTCTACCTACAAAGACGACCTTCTGTGTATCTTGTTTAACAGTGCAGGTTCTGGAATTGGACTGCCCACGTTCAAAGCTCTCAGCCCACAATCCAGCTGTGATTTTGAGCAAATGTCTTCAGTGTCTCCATCTGAAATGGGGATTATAACAGTGCCTGTACCTCATATGGCTGTTTGTAAAGATTAAATGAGTTAACTCATGTCAAGCATTTTGGATTGTGTCTGGCACATGTAAGTGCTTAATAACTGCTGATTATTTGATATTATTTAACCAGCTTTCATTCATATTTCTTTTTAAAATATTCAAATCAGATGGCATGTGACTAGGAGAACAATCTACCAATGAGCTCAAAATAACCATTTTTATTAGGAAGAAAGTCTGGGGTGCCCTCTTGCTGTAGGGGTGGGCATTTGACACAGGGGTTATGGTACCACAGGTATGCTGGCATCCCACGTCGGAATGCCTGGTTAGAGTCCCAGCTCCACTTCTGCTCCAGCTTCCTGATGATGCACATACTGGGAGGCAACAGTGATGACTTGGGCACTTGGGTGCCTGCCGCCCATGTAGGAGACTTGGATGGAGTTCTGGCTCCTGGCTTTGATCTGCCTCAGCCCTGGCTGTTGTGG